AAAACAGTTTTTTTTTTTTTAAACAAATACTTTATTTTTTGGAAAAACTCCGTTATACATTTATATTAAATAATAAAAATATCCTCAATAAGCTCACTTCAGAGCATTTGTAATTTTTGATCGTTTCATGCAATTTTTTTCATAATTTCTTCAAAATGAAAAATTTCGTTCAACAAATTTTTCTTGCAAAATTGTCCTCTCATTAATGACTCCAAATTGGTATCCATTAGTAACGAAAAAAGGTGTAAAAAAATTATCATTAAATTTGATTTTCTTGTCATGTCATGTCATTTGTTCACGCATTTACCCTGGTATGATTTAAAATTTAGAGTACACAAATCATACAGTAACGACGTCAATGTACAAAATATAGACAGGAAAGAAGGCAGCAAATACAATATTCACAATTATTCGTCGCCTAATCGAAGCAATGAATCGCCTCTACTTAGAACCTAAGTATGCAATCAGAATCGCAAAAATGAGCGAAACGCTCAAACATACGTGTCAGAACGACGTCTCCGATAACGAATCTTTCATCGACGTAAGCGTCGACTTGTCGATCGAAGCCGATTGCCTCAGCCATGTACTCCTTTGCGACTCGTCTTCCATCGGACGCTTGCAATCGCTGCGATCCAGACTCGTGCATCGTTTCCGCGGTGAAGGAACCTTCTCTGTCTTGTCACCCGAATTGTTCATACTGTTTGTACTTCCTGATGCAATACCCGAAGTATCCGAACCAGGTGTGGTCGCTCCCTCGGCCATTACGTTCAAATCCGATCCGGACTGCTCAAAATCACCTGTTCTGGAAGTAAAGCTCAAATCCACCGGACTAGCTGACAGTAAGCTTCTCGATAAATAGTATTCTTTGAACGCGTTGGGATTCGTCGAGGTAGTTGTACATTTTGTAGTCGAGTTGGGATCGTACTCCACACACGTGACGAACGTTTGCTGCTCTTCTGGGGTACCCTGGATTTTTTCAATGTTTTCTTTGTCAGCAACTGTATGTGAAAATCTTGGGGTATCTGTAACTGTAGACTCTTTGGGGTGCGACACGTAAGTTTTTTGGGCCGGTAAATCGAGATTCGATTGCAGACTGTTGGTAGAATCATATTGGATGGAGCCGTTGTTCAGGGTAGGAAGGTTGCAGAGATTCGTAGTAGATGCCGAGACCATAACTGGCTTGCGGCATCTCGGAGTCATCATTGTTTCCTGAAAAGTGAACACAGGGTTTACTCAACAGCAAGTTTAAAATTTTTTTTTTTTCAGAATTTTTCGATTTATAATTCGAATGGTATTAATTTAATTAAAGTTAAAAATAAAAAAAGCCATAGGACTCATTAGTCACATCATGCAAAGAAAAGCGTGTATACCTGCATAGCCTTAGTCATTTTGGTAGCGCTTTGGGTAATGGGGCTCATGCTTCTTTCTTCATCCGCGGTTATCGGCGTGAATCCATAATCATTAACGGCATTCAGGCTTCTGGTGATGAAATTCGAAGGTGTGGACGTGTGCGCCGCGAACAAATACCTCAATCGATTTTTCGTAGCCGGAGACAGTAGCAACGCTGCCGTTTCACTGCTCCGACTGTCGTCAGATACTATTGGATCCAACAATCGTTCCTGTGCTGGCGTTACAGTTACCACGACAGCTTTATCAGCGTTACAATAAGCGCTGTTGACGTTTGAAACGGCTACCTCGACGCCGTCGTTATTTTCAGCCTTGTTGCACATGTCTTGCGAGGACTGTTCGTCTTTGTTAATTTTTTGAGAGCCATGAGATGATTCTTTGTCTTTGGTAGCAGTAAACGAGGGCGTATTGCGGAGCAAGTCCTTGCTAATGCTAAGATAGCTCTTAAGAATAACTTTGCTCTTGGATTTGTAGCTAACGGGTGTGTTGAGGCTTGAGGTGCTGTTACTCATTTGTTTCAACTTGAGCAGGTTGTCGCTGTCCAACTGCTGCTGCTCCTGGCTGAGGAGGTCGTAGCTCTCCAAGTCGCTGAGCTCGTCCTCCGACTTGCTGAAGACTTTCGGTAATAGCGTGGGACTTTCGAGAGACTGTGAGGAATCGAGCGAAAAGACAGATGTTTAAGCAACGAGCATTTGTTAGGCAGTTTTTGCGCTTTGTATGTAGCAGAAATGTTTAGTAGACTCTTGCGAGTTTTAATGATCATTCCTTTAGAAATCGTATGCAAAGAAAAAATTTTTCTCCATGCTGTTACAGCTTTGATAATTAATTAAAAACAAAAAAAAAACATTGCATTTTCCGTGTCATTGATATATACTTACGTTCAACACAATATTCTCTTCGCTACTCGACCTGCTAAAGTTACAACCAAGTTTAACGTCAACGATTTTTTTGTGCAGCTTTTTCTGGAATATTCGTTTTTTTATCGAGTCGCCAAAGCTGCGTCCAGCACCGCTACCACCAGCAGCTACACCCGAGGAATTATGTTTAACGTGTCGCGGCGTGCCTTGGCCGTTTTCTTTGTTAAACTGTTTGACAAGCCGACGTTTCTTGGAAGACTCTGGCATCGATTGGATGTGCGCGTATAGCTGAGCGAGTGCCGCTTGCGTGTCTTGCGACGCGGTCGCTTGAGCCGTCAAATTGCGATCGACGAAACTGAAGACCGTGTGGGCCGTGCCGGTCGTATCCGTTGTCGACTCGTTCAACTGTCACAAAAATAAAATATAAATTCACGAATGCTATGTGCCGTAGGAACTTTTCAGCATTCAAAGATAAACTTCTCACATCAGACTTTTGAGGACTCAACAATTTTTTCTCCTGCTCTACCCAAAACGCTCGAATATCAGTGGATAATTTAGGTGGGATTTCATACAGCTTTGTGCCTTTCTGTATCATGAAAGAAACTAGTCCTGACAAATTTTGCGAATTCATGTGCAACGCCTCTGGAGAAAGCTTTCTGGGACACATTAAATGTGGCGTAAACAACGTTGCAAGAGAGTCACAATTCATTTTGTTGCTATTCTCGTGCTCCGCTACTTTATTTAGAAGATTGAGTATCTGTTTTAATACGATTCTGTTGGGTGGAGGTAAAAGAAGTAAAAGTAGTTGGAGTGCTCGCAAAAGCCTCGAATCATTATTACTACTGCTGCTGGAAGTACAAAGTTCTAAAAAAAAAAAAAACAATTAATTCTAGAATAACATGGAAAATTTAACATTAATCAACACATTGAAACAACTTGCCAGCTATCTGACAATACTCTGGGTAATGAAGGTCTGTTAAAAGTGGTTCTGATAGATCTGCTAGATATCCTTTTAAAACAGATGCACAATCGTGCACGCTAAATTTCCCTTCATCCAAATGAAGGGGTGAGCCTTGATATAGAGCAGTTTTCAAGTCTTGCTGCCTTGTCAACTTTCCAGTTCGTCTAAAAATACCCTCTTGAACTATAGCTGCATAAATAAAGGTTACAGGATTACAAAGTGTACATTTTTAAAAATGTTCAATCAACATATGAGTATTATAGAACCAAAGTACTCACAATCTTCTTTGGCCAAATATTCAATTAGCTGTTTCACTTGGTTTATCCCTTCCTTTGTCAACAAGGCACCTTCTGTACTTTTTTGCGTATTCAGTGGAGGCTTGGATTTTTTAGAAAAATTCAACAGACCCCACTTCTTTAGTTTCGCTTTTTCCGTTACCGTGTCGTTTCTAAAAAATACCGACGAATAATTTCACTTGGAAGCAAACAAATACGCAAAGATGATCGGTAACAAAAAAAATTGTTCACTATTGTCAGACTTGGGGAAAAAATTCAAGAAATCATGTAACTTGAAATGCATCATGAATATTTAAAACTAAAGAAGAGGCGAAAGAAGCCATTAAAACAAATATTTTCAAACAAAAAACGTTTACAACAGCCGAATCTGTCACCACAAGTTGTAACGTACAAAAAGCAATGTGTCAAAGGTAAAAGGAAAAACTTACTCCTCCGTGTTAAGGTCCAGCTCGAAGGACAGGTGCATCTTGACGAGCGTGTGGAACTGCTCGGCGTAGACTTTGCGCATCCTGCTCGCCAAGTTGCCGTCCAGGCCGTTGTTGAAGTCCTCCATCGCTGCATGTATGTATTATCAAAGGGACGCGCGACCACAACAAAAACAACTATTTATAATACTAATAATCCTTTCAAGCTCTCATCTCTCCTGGAAAAAAAGGACCCAACAGTCGGGAGGAGGATATATCTTCCGGAGTCCTTAAAGTTCAACACTTTCTTCGATCAACATTTTGTCGTCGTCACCGTACGATGAAAAAAAAAAAAAAAAAAAGACAAAACCTTTGTGTTTGACACTTAAATTGCGAAGAAGATTACAGGGGGGGGGGGATAACAATAACAAAAGGGGGTACACCGTTTAGGCGAGCATCCATAAAATTCGTCTCGTGCAAAATATATACGGAACTCGCAACTGTAAATACGAATCCAGGAGCGGAGGTCACGTGACGTTGCAATGGGGAACGGCGATTGGGGAACCGGCTGAACGCCATTTTGGAAGCGCGGGAGGGGGCACGCGCGAGGCCGATGGTAAGGTCGTGAAAGGTTTTATCCTGCTTGGATCAAGTAGATTTTTGTTCGAGAAAACGATGAGTTTATAATTTTAACAATCCAATATGCTTTTTATTCATACATTGTGATAACAATATAAAAATATAATATACATGTAAATATAATTTATATATATGTACAAAATCATACTAGGTGTGTAAAGCTTGGTAATACAATAAAGATTTCAAAAAATTGGACTCGCATGATTCGCTTCTGGCAATTGTGCGTACAGCACTTGTGGATAGAGTATTGGTAAAAAATTGTAAATATATTTTTTTTTTTAAAAAAGGCAAATTTCATTTACAGTTTCTCTGTCAGCTCTGGCACTGCCTTGAATAAGTCTTGCACTAGGCCATAGTCCGCTACTTGAAAGATCGGAGCCTCCGGATCCTTGTTTATGGCAACAATTGTCTTGGAGTCTTTCATGCCAGCCAAGTGCTGGATGGCTCCGGAAATGCCCACCGCGATGTATAGATCCTGAGTAACAGTGAAAAATTGTTAATAAATAATAAGGTCAAGGCAAATAAAATCCTAACGAAATCACGTATTTGCTTACGGGAGCAACGATCTTTCCCGTTTGACCGACTTGAAGGTCATTGGCCACGTAGCCGGCATCAACGGCAGCACGAGATGCACCAACAGCAGCATTGAGCTTGTCAGACAGTTTGTACAGCAATTCAAAGTTCTCCCCAGACTTCATACCTCGTCCTCCGGATACAACAACCTTGGCAGATGTCAGCTCTGGTCTGTCGGACTTGCTCAGCTCTTGCTTGACAAATTCAATTAGATTTGTCTTATAGTCTCCAGCTGGGGCTTGCTCGATCTTGGCACTGCCTCCCTCTAGAGGAGCAGCCTCAAAAGCTGTACCTCTGACAGTCACTACTTTAATTTTGTCCTGGAGCTGAATAGTCTGGATCGCATTTCCAGCATATATGGTCCTGATGAAAGTGTCGGCAGATTTTATGCCAATAATGTCGCTCGTTGGTGATACATCAAGAGTTGCTGCAACCTAAACGTAAGAGTACTCATTGCTTGGTTATCAAGTCAGAATGGCTATGGCCTTAGTTGATTCGTCACTTAAAAACTGCTGTACATTTTCTGTGACAAATTGATAACAATGTAAAAGAAACAAACTTGAACGCACTTACCCTGGGCAAAAGCGCCTTGCCAAATGCGCTGGCACCAGCGAAAATGTGACTGAAGTTGTGCTGCTTTTGTGCGGCGACGATAAGCGGCGTGAAAGCCTCAGGAATGAAGCCGTGGAAGGCATCGCCCTCAGCTATGAGGACTCTGGCGACGTCCTTGGCCTTGCTCAGTTGTTCGGACACGGGGCCGCACTTGGTGCCAGCGACGAGGACGGTGATGTCTCCTCCGATCTTCTTGGCGGCGGTCAGGGCGTTCTGGGTTATCGGGAGGACGACCTCGTTGTTGTGCTCGGCGATTACGAGGGTCGACTCGAAACGTTGCAGAATCGCGGTGAACTGCGTGAGAGGAGTTTCGTGGGGGAATAAAAAAAAAAAAAAAGTTGAATTAACTTTTCGAGGTTAAACCAAGAGACGAGCATTTATAAAAAAAGAGTAGGAGCTTACGTTGGCGTTGTTGCTCTTCAGAGTCCTGCAGCAAGTGGCGAACATTTTGACACTTTTGTTTTGTGATTTCCTTTGTTTTGACAGTGTACAATAGATAAACAGTGGAAAGTCGGGGCAAGAAGAAAACAGCCCACGTCAAAGCTTTTCTGCTTGCTTGCTATTGATGGTCTTTAAACTATATATAATAATACTGCTTTATATACCTTCAAAGAGTGAGAAAGATTAATTATCTTTGATAGATGATGCGATTGGGCCGGATCGGGCCAATATCATGATTGAGCAACAAGTTGTTGCGTACGTAATATATAATTTTTAGTGCATATTTTAGTAAATTTCAGTTTTTCAGTTTTTGGGGATTTTATAAAATGTTAATATTTAAAAAGAAATACACATCTGCCCCCCCCCCTCGCGCAAATTTATAATAAGTATATGTGACATATTTATTGCGATTAATTTAAATGATCATGTACTACAGTGCATCATGATTATAGGTTGGTCCGAGTAATAATTTACATTTGTCGAGCTTGAATCGTATGTATATTCATAAGTTAATATATTCCTAAATAATGAGTTATTATAATAATTATAATTATTATTATCCTAATTAAATCTTGATAATGTTTTTGCATTCAAGAGTTTTTTTTTATCAGTATCAGTGAACAATATGACGTTTCGTCTATAGGCGACTCGCCGCGAGATCGAGAAAAAAGGCGATTGTTGTATATTGTTTTGTGCAATTGTTCCCGAGTCACGTTTTGTTTGTCGCAGGCACAAGGTGCTATTTTGCGCCTGTGGATGCAAAAAAAAAAAAAAAATTATGATAAATTTTTTACTTCTCACATTTTTATTTACAAAGCTCTCCTAATGTACATAATTTAATAATTATATAACTTGATGATTAAATACAAAAATCGTAGATTATACTTTATTGTATAGCGACGATAGGGCTTATAAACAATTTCGACATTACACACATGTCAATATAGTTACTCTTTTTCCTCTGATATGTATGTATTGCTTACTAAGAAACGGTATACCTTGTAAATGCGTTTGATTTTGTACACATCGGATTATCACATATTACGTAATGTCCTACAATTCTCTTCTTAAACGTTTTAAAATCATTCACCAAAAATAAAACATTAAATCCTATAAACAGCAAATAATATTTTAACGATCATATTTTATTAAGAAAATATTACGAGAAAAACTTAAATTTCATAACTATTACTATTGAAAAACTAACATATTGACTATACATAAAATTTTTTGAATGTATATAATGGTCACAAAAAATGGCACAAAGTATATTTGTCGTACTGTAAAATAATAAATTTATTTTTCCATAAACGTGAGCTGCGTCACGCTAATAATTTCTACGCAAAACCTTTTTGATAAACCTCATAAAAAATGCAACTTTGGTGTACAATGCAGGCAATTTGTGTGAGTTTTTGGGCCGAATGCGGATTCCAATGATATTATTATTTATATCAACAAGAGGACCTCCATCGTTGTCCTGTAAATATTTATTCAATACACTTTTTCGTAAAATAAAAATCAAGTTAAAAGTTTTATAGACATTTTGTTTAAATATCGATAACAAAATGAATGTGTATTAATAAAAACTTACGATCCACCCGTAACCAACATTATCTTCAGGTTTAGTGCACACGTGACTATTGGTTGCCGTTACAGGTCTGTACTTTTTGCATTTTTTCAGTGGCATTAACATGCTTCCAAAGGTAATGCAAGAAGCATAGTTTCGACGAAAACCAGTGAAACGTACTATTGTGGAATTTTCTTCTCTTTTGTTTTTCGAAGGTAAATTGAGTATCCTGACATGTTTGCTGTCCAAGTCGAAAGCTTTGGTTACCTGAAATGTTGCGTGTACACGCGTTACCCCGATTGAATATAAAAAAATAATGACAAAGTTGCACTCCAGTGAGAAGAAAGTATTCCATTGTCATTACCTTTAATACAGCAATGTCGTACAAATGAGACCTGGCGCTTGAGTTTTTATACCTCGGGTGCCATTTAGTTTTTTCAACAAAATTTTCAGTGATCTCATGGTGGCACAAATTCTTGTACATCCTGTGAGTGCGTATAAACAACTGAGAAGTGTTGTACCCGTACACGCAGTGGGCCGCGGTGATTACGTGAAACTTGTCAATTATGGCACCACCGCATAGACGTTGGGTCCCGTCGTCGAGTATCTTTTCGATGGAAACGACGTACTTTGGCAAATCATTCTCGGTGCAGATTCGTTTTTTAGATGCATCTATGCAAAACGTAAATTTCTCGACAATAAACAAGTACTCGATTGTTTTAGCACTTCTTGTACGTTATCGCAATCACCTCAAAACGGTCTTATCTAACTTTGATATTAGTTAAAGTTCATCCAAGTTTGTATGGAGAAAATTAAAAAACCTGGTTTAATTTTTTATCTGAATCATTCATGAACTTATAAGGAGGTTGATAAGATAATAGTCGACAAGTGGAAAATATATTGGACATTAGAGAAAAAATTATTTGACTAGGGTAGTACGACTGTATATATGTTTAATTTCGAGTGAAAATGGCAAATTTTACTGTATATTTGTATTTAGATGATTTGGCCAATAGATCTAATCATATAAGAGATACACTCTCTTCATGTTTCTTAGCAATTCTACAAGAATTTTGCGTTGCTAACACGTTCCCAAAACCAACTCGAAACTTGTTAAGGGTGAACATCGTATAGGTATCATTTGAAATTTAAAAAAAACTAAAACTCCATTTTTGATCGGTCGCTTATAATAAAAAAGAAAAAAACGATTCGCAGTTTCCAATTGATTCAATCAATATCCTTTAAACACACAAATGTCGTAAAAGTCATCGGTTCTCTTGATTAGTTCGAACAAAAAATATTTATGCCACCAAGGCATGACCCGAAAAATACACAAATTTAAACAGCTTTGGTAGCTCTCCTCGGATGAGTTTGCTGTAAACTTTTTGATTGAACGATTTTCATAAGGAAAGCGGAAAAATCTATTAAAACAGTGTTAAACTACTTTGGGCGAAAGATATGAGTAACTTTAAATTCCAATGTCCGATGATTATGACAAAACGTATTTAATTTTAGTTGGTGAGGCTTCGGATTACCAATGAAACTGATGTAACAGTTATTTTTACTATGACCTCAACATGCCAGAATATTCATGATGAACGAATTATAAAATGAAAAAGTTAAGAAACAATTATTTACCGCGTAAAACTTTGTCGATGAACTTCATGAACGACGCGACTCTGGTGAACAATGCAGTCCTTTTTTCCGAGTCGTCCTTTTTTTCCTCGATGAGGATTCCAACGATATGATCAAACTCGTCGACAAGAGGACCTCCAGTTCTACTCTGTGGGGAGTTGAATCGATTATAATTTTAATGCACGAGAAAAATCTAAAATTAACTTACGAGCCATCCTAAAAAACTGTCTTTCGTGGGGGTCACGCATTTTTGGTCTCTCGTTACGGTGCCATCGTCGGGTACGACTATTTTGCACGTATCCAGTTGCCAATCTATGACGTCGCCGTAGTGGGGCAGGTAAAGCTTTGTGTTAACAAAATTGTCGAAACCTTTCTCCACCTGGAACAATAATCGAGGCTAAAAGTGTTATCTAAAATCAAAGCAGACTTTTGGGTCAAGTTGTTTAATGGCTTTTTAAACACCAATTTTTTTTTGTGGTTTTCAACTGGACAAAGTGCATGTGAAATAATTATTTTACTCATCACTACTCACAACACAATGTATTAGATAAAAAAAATTTTTTTTTATTCCAGTGCACGAGTGCAACGTACATTTTATTGTACGATTTTAAAGTGTATATTTGAAATTAAATATTTAAATACTTTTTCGAATAATTCATTATTTTTCCAAACTATTTTTTCCTTTTAAATTATTGTCATTCACTGGGTTTTTTTTTTTTTTTTTGTTTTTTTTGCATACTGATGATGCGTGCATTGCACTCTGTATGGCAATAAATCACAACTGCGAGACATTAAATTGTTACCTGTAATATGGCCAAGTTGTTGAAGTGAGAGTTCAAATTTGGATTGTACTTCGGGTGTACTGTGGATTCCACGACATTGTCATAGTCGAATTGACGAGTTTCCCATGGATTGGTGAGCACAAGTAATTCGTGGGTACTGATACCATGGACGCATTGGGCGGCGGTGATGACGTGAAAATCGTCTATGATGGCTCCGTGGCACAGATAGTGCGGTCCTTCCACGTCGTTGAATTCTTTGTAAATCGCCACCATGTACTTGGACTGATCGTCGTACTCACCGATTTCGCTGTCCGAGTCAGCCTCGGCGACCACTGTGTGCATACATATAGGCTCAAATATGTTTTTCGGGATGAAAGTTCTTTTTTGAAATTTCTTTGATGAAAATTCTCTTTTTACGCGCAAATCTATTCATGGCTACAGAGATATGCGGACTTCATAGTTGGATTGGAAAAAAAAAAAAAAGTGTTTCGCATTTAAATTAGAGAAATCAGACGATCGTACGAGGGGCTGCGCTCTCTTGAAATCATTAAAAAAGTCTCCATAAGTCATTAGTCTTCCAAAGACTTTTTACCGGGACTTCAAGAAAGCGTATAGCTTAAAGTCATTAAAAAAGTCTCCATAAGTCATTAGTCTTCCAAAGACTTTTTACTAGAAGCCTGAAAGCCTTTGGAGTGCGCAGCCCCTCGAGATCGTATATGATTATTCAAGATTGAAAATACGATGAATAACACTCCATAAATATGGAACCAGCGAAAAATCTACGTAGATTAGAATGCTGATTTCACTGAAAAAGCAGTAAAATAAACGTTAACCCACTTATTTTTTGGCCTCGATGGTACACTTAATAACCGATCTTTCAATTTAACGTTTACCGACGATGCACCAATAAAATAAAAAAATGCTTATCGATTGCACAAGTAAAAAACGTGACTCTACCTTTGGCACTCTGAAGCAAAAGAAGGTTCAGGGTGGCGGCAACGATCGACAGAAGGAAATTCATCTTTGTTTGACCGTATCGCTGGGGCGGATGGAGAACGAGCTACTGGAGAACCAAAAGCCAACTCGGTGCTCATCCAAAGCCCAGCTCAAATGCGTAAGACAATGAAATTCAGTTCTCATGTGTTATGGAGGGGGCGAGGCGCTAGCACTAATCGCTCGGCTCCTCCAAACGCTATTGAAACTCGGAAATAAATTTGACATAAATCCAGTGCGGTATTATTCAACATGAGTTGGCCGATTGATATGTGACTAAAGGAATGGATCACACCTGAGTTTAAACTCTTTCTTTCTTTTTTCGTTATTCCAATTGGAAACAATAAATACTTGTTGCGCTTCTCAAGATATAATAGTCACCTATTCCAAACTCTTTTATTTATAGCTACGTAAAATCTAAATGCATGTGGGTTTTGTAAATTCAAAATCACGGTCTTCCAAATGTTGCTGGATGAAAAAAAAAAAAAACGAATCACTGCTGCCTCTAAAATTGTGCTCCGCGAAGAGAGGAAAAAAAAATTGACGTAATCATCGCTTATACAAAACCGAGGCATTGACTCTGGAAAATTGAATTAAGCTATCAAACATTCCAAGTGGGATGTATATTTATAAACAGCGCCTCAAGTTAATTAAGTCGTTGTCTCTCAAAAATTGTGTGCTTCGCGGTGATGCATATTATTTTTCACTCATTTTTAAAACGTAAGACCGAGCTTTTACGGAACACTGCCGAGGAACCTGTTTGTAGACTTGTATTTCGAATATTTTTTTATTTTTTTAATTTTCCGCACTTACAGCATTTTTCTTTGTTGACTGCACAAGAATCATTTATACACACATACGTGTATCTATACTCGGCCACGATTGTAATACCTTACCGACACATGTGGCTCACTACTTTTATAAAAGATGATGATGAATTTAAGAAAAAATTTAATATAAAACAAAAGAGTAAAAAAAAAAAACAAAACAAAAAGATTAACATTCCCTTGGTATCGGCAAAGTGTAATGTAATATTTCACGATTTTCCAAGTCGATCTCTTGCCAGTCGACCACTGGCTTGTTTCTCATGCACTCGTCTTTCCAGCAATTCTCCTGGATAGGATTCAAGGAGCCCGTCCACGCCTGAAAGAATTTTTGCTTTTTTTATGTCCTTCGGCTCGAAAAATCGCATCACCGAGCGCATACCTTCTCGCAATGATCGGCCCAAAGGTATATCAGTTGGTTTCCTCGGTCGAACGCGTATTTTTTAGCCCCCCGCAAAATCGCCAGACCCTTTTTCCTGCGACACCTCGCCATATTGTAGTAAGCTTTCAACAGAAAATACCTGAAATACCGGTCGTTCGTTTTTTCCTTCTCAACGATTTTCCAACAATCCCAAAACTTTTACCTCGATTCCACAATTTTCACGACCTTGCGCGTGTCCTTGATGATTCTGAGCTCCTCCTTAATTCTTTTCAGCACTACCGCGGCATCCTTCAAGTTTTTGTTGTTCATCCTTGCAACTGTGTATACGTAGACAATCAGTAAATGTAGTGTACAGCCATTGTTAGCCAACCGATTCTCCTCACCATAATTGATTATCAAGCCCTCGAGTTTCTTCAATGTCGTTATAGCCCCGGTAACCGTGTAATCGTTAAACACGTTGAGGTCACACTGTGAAAGGCAAATAATTTGTATCAGCATCGGTATATAATTTAAATAATTTTCTCGATCCAACGCACTTCTCTGTCTTTCCACACAAAGGCAGATTCCCAGTCGCCGATTCTTATGTACCTGTTGGCAGGCGCGATCGGTAAAGCAAAAAAGTTCACATGTATGCTAGTACCAAAAAAGTCGATGTGTGTACCAAAGCCACATGCAGACGAAAAATCTCTTGGCAGCCTCAAAGTCCTTGGCGTTTGTGATCTTGCTGCTCTCCTCCTGGTAAAACTCCTCGCACTTGTGCAGCGGTAATACCGAGACACCGATTTCGAGTAACAAATCGACACACAACGAGTAATACCACGTTATGCCCGACAGATCGATATTGTTTTGCGACACGTACTCTAAAAATCGTTTTGTTTTTCCATAAAAAATCGGTAAATGTTTTGAAGATCGTTGAGTCAACTCCAAAGTATTTCGCCACGCTGTTGCATACAGCAACGAGTAATACGTGTAAAAGCATAAAATTAAAGAAACTTTCATCACGCGATTAAAATTCGATAAAAGGTGTGTACAACTAGAGACGTAGTAACCCAGTTCTAGCAGCATATCCACGGACTCGGCGAACTTGCCCTGCGACTGTATGAGCTGCACGAGTCTCGGCAAAATGATGAGCTTGAGGTCGACCAAGCGCGTCGTCGTGGCGAGCCTCTCGGCCACGTAGCCGATACTCGCGGCCGATTGTCTCAAACCCCGCACCCACCTCGAGCGAAAAATCCCCATGTAGAGCTTGGCCACGGCGTTCAGCTCCTGCAGCTCTATCGAGTCATCGCGCTGGTTGCACAAGTTTATGGCCTCCGTCTCCAGCAGTGGTATTATCGCGCTGCCAATCATTTCACGTGTTTTGTTTGTTCGTTTATTCATCAGTCTACTCGGGTTGAGCTCACTTGTACTGGTTGGCCTGCGCGGTGATCATCATGTGGGCGTACGACGTGCACAGCACGAAAAAATCCTTGCTCGACTCGAGCGCCACGTTCAAGCCCCAGATCGCGGCCAGCTTCGCGTGATCGTGCATCCCCTTCATCTGTCCGTTACATCGTGTATACACACGCGCATACATTACACATCATTGTACATATATACATCCATCAATCGACCCATTGTTTAAATTAATTGAGCGCCGACCCTGTAAACGATGAACATCTGCGCGAGGCAACTGGCAAACTGGTCGTTGTACCTGGCCCCGTCGTCTCTGAGGCTCCCGACCTTGAACCTCCTCAGGCAGTTGAGCATGAGGAACTGTTGTTGCAGCAGGTACGCCGATTTCAGGCCGATGGAGACGCGATTCTTCGGAAAGGCGTAGCCCATGATCTTCAAGGTCGCCTCGAAGCACAGCATCGCCTCGGCCGTGAGGCCGCTCTCCAGGAAGCACTGGCCCCGAAATGTTTGCACTTTGCCCTTCAGGCAGGGCAACACCACCAGCCCATCCTCGGATGAATCGTACACCTATAGAATGCACTTGTTTGAATTTGCACAATTGCCGAGTCTCGCTTATACAATCCAACATCACCGCACTTGCCGTTTTGGACCGTATACGTGTATTATGTCCCTATACGTTGTGTATATTATGTATACGTACCAAGTCGATGAGTTTGTCGGCCTCGTGGAGTAACTTCGTAGCTTGGGGTATGTTGAGGGTCGAGATGCAGACCTCAACGAATTCAAGAATCGCGACCAGCAACAACGGTTTGATCCCTACACGGTACTCATATGTATTTTACACATTGAACGTCGAATCGGTTGTGAAAATCGTATAGTGAGTGATCGTTTACAATCACCTATACCGCGACAGTGCTCCATCACGTGGGTGTAGACGGTCAAAAGGATCAAGTTGCACTGGCAGTTGGTGAAATCGACCTGGGAAAAGACCCGCGTCGGCGATTTCTCGATCGGCCGACAGGCCCGGAACCAAGACAGTCCATCGCCGTACTTGTGATTTTCTGCCAGAGAATTTTTTTCCTTTCTTTATTCATACATGGAGGGGGGGGGGAAATAAACGTTCTACCAGCGTTGTCGTCGTTCCACTGGGTGACGTCGTCGCTGAAGTTGGCCAAGTCGGTGGAGGAATCTTTGAGCTCGAGAAGCATGGGGTCGGTTATCTGCGATCGCTTCCTCGCTGTTTCGACGAGGACTGTCTTGCCGAGCAGCTTGTTGAACTGGCCGCCACCGCAGGACGCGCAACGCCGGGTATTCTGTTGGAGGTAGCGCAGGGCCTTGCTGTGGAACTCGACTTTCTGGTTCTCGGTTAGTAACCTGGTGCCGGGGAGGGAGGGGGTTACAAGCGAAACTTTTTGGGAATTGGAATAATTGAGCTTTTGGATAATGCACAAAAAAAATATTGTTTCCAATGTAACGGCAACCTGTAAGTCGTCTCGCGGAACATGTCGAGTTTGAACCTCATCATGCCGCAAGCCGCGTAATTCGGCAAATCGGCGAGGGCAGCTGCAACCAAATGAGAAGGAGGAGGGGAAAGTATGCGTGAAACCAGAGTGTGTGCAACCTATACCTACGCCGTACAACGACACCCTTGCAACCGCAGCGCACTTGAACCTGCAGGCTGGGATTGTGGAGCTTTTTGAACAGCATGGCCGGGCCGGGGCTCCTGGTGAAGTCTCCGACGGTACAGCCGATTATTCGCAGCTCGAAAAGCTTGACGATACCTGTGCGCGCACACGAGGGCAGCTCGTGAACATATATACCGTTTACAAGCATCGATCGTTTATTTACTGAGAGCTACGTCGCGCTCGGGTGTTCCTTGCATGAGTCGCTCGAGCATTTTTCGGTCGACAATCTCCCCCAGGACAGCCGCGCACTTCAGCAAGAACTGATCCAACGGCGTCAGGGAGTCGTACAGTTTTATGAGGATGGCTGTACATACCATTGCGCTCAAAGTTACAGCAAAAAAAAGCTTACTATGGTATACATCACTGTATCTTACTGTCCATCGTGGTCTCGGAGTCAACGTCTTCCACCGCAAATCTCGAGGTGAGCACGCACACGCTGTACTTGGCCTCGTTGTCCCGCTTCTTCCTACTGGCGTCCCTGCTCTTGTCAAAGTCCTTTTCAACGGGGAATAAAGTATACAACGTGGCATCAGTTGGATTTAAACCGTGAAAAAGTATAACACGTGTGCATTGCACGCTCACCCTGTACGTCGATTTGTACATCTTCCACATGTCCCGATCGATCGCGTCGAACGAGCGCGCTTTGAAAATCGGCTGACCCGATGGCCTGTATATACATTATTTCCAGACAGAGATCGGTTTTAAGAGAATATATTATGTATAACCACGCAGAATCCACCTTTTGAGCATCTTCGAGGACGGCTCGACGAGGCCCGCGTCCTCGAGCTCGCGCCTCGTCAGGCTCTCGATGGCCACGCCCTGCAACTGAATCAGACTGACCAGGTAGCTCTCTATCCAACCGGGGTTGCCCCAACTTCTCTCCTGGATCACTCTTTTTTCCAAATCGTACAATAAAAATCTACACGCTAAAGAAAAGAAACAAAATATGTATATCTTTTGCGTGTGCTTGATACTTTTCCAGCTCGACGGGAATGGCCACGACGTTGAGTATCTGGCAAGCGAGCGCCGCGTGGTACCACTTGTCTATACCCTGGATGTCGACTACCTACAAATTGGACGTGATGATATCGGTAGTATGTATGATTCGATCAATAAAAAACGGGGCTCGCTTCGCTTACCCGAGCCATGTCGACGATTTTTTCGGGCAATGCGTAGGACCTGGACAGTTTGTTGCCGTAGGCCAGGACAAACAGGGCCCCGCTGTGCTTGACGACGGTGGGCAAGAGCGCGAGCGACTCCTCGTCCGCGAGTTCGGCGTCGTCAACCATCACCAGCCACGCGGCCTCGAAACACCGGCGCGTCAGTGTTTTCAGCAATTTCTTGAGCAGGTCGTTGCGTTTGCGCGGCTCGTAGGCCAGGAACTCGTCGGTTTCACGGAAGGTGACGTTGAACGCGCGATTCAAGGCGCAGAGGTGGGACCGATCGGTATCGGGGAATCGGCTGTATATTTGGTTCTGGCGCTCTTCGTGGGCCGAGGCGTCTCGGATGTCGAGCAAACCGTCGAATATCAGACGCAGGAGGATGAACGACAACTGGTTGATGGTGTGCACATATATTACAATACATTATAACATTATGTAGGCGTACACAGGGTGGAGGTACTATACATATATAACTACTTTATTGTTTCAATGGGTGCACGTACTTGGTTGTCGTAGGGAGCCAAGGCTATAAAGTTCACCATGACGTGGGCGGGGGTAAGGTGGGACATTTCCTCGAGCAATCGCGTTTTTCCCATTCTCGGATCGCCTCTGATCAAATTCGTAAAGTGTGTATCACTTTTTGTGGAATCGTGAAATTGTGGTTTTATTTTATATTATTTTTTTTTTCATTAAATCACCTCAGTATCAAAACATCGCCCCTGATCTCCTCTTCGTCCGCGTGGGCGTGGCTGTCGACGACTTTTTCCATCATCTCGTGAAAAGTTTCGAGCTGAGCGTCACGATCCAGCAACGGGTACTTACTTATGTGCACATCGTTGTCAACGGCACTGAAACGACAAGTATTTTTCTCTCCCATAGCTATGTGGTATACTCGTATACATGATCTTTTGTTGTTGTTGGTATACCCAGTCTGCTCAAAAAACTCGTATATAGGACCGACGTTCGTGATTCCCTTGAGCTCCTTTGGCTCCTGCAAAACAAAGTGCTTGGCCTCGAGATGGGACAGCAGGAAACTCTCGCGATCGCAGACCACCTGAATACACGTCGCTCGTTTACTCAAACCCTTTACGTAAAAACAAAAAAAAAGAGACACGCGTGCAACCTTGTTGCTGTAAGCGCACATGAGCCTAGCGGCTTTGTTGACGGCCATGCCGATGACCGTGTACTCGCGCCTGAGCACGTGGCCAACGACGCCGCAGTACGTCATGCCGGTCGTCACGCCGACTGTCACCGACTGGACGTACTGGTACTTGGCGAGTCCACGGCGTAGCTTCAACGCGCACCTGAGCCCGATCTGGGACTCGAGCTCGTGCTTATCGCCCCGGAGTCCAAAGATGCACAGGAATATCAGGTCCTTGTCGAAGAGCGACGTCTTGTTCACGCAACCCTGCATCTCGCCCACTATACTGTTTTGAAAAACGGATACTACCTGGTATTTGAATGGACACGGGAGTACGTTGTCGTTCAATATAATTGATACCCGCAGACAAAGGAAAACGTTGCGTCGACTAGTTTGATGAGGGTCTTTCGGTTGATCTCCTCGGTGATGACGTTCACGAAGACGATGACGACCTGGCGGATCTCGGTTAGGTACTCCAGCGGCTCGTCCATCTCGACCGATCGTATCACAGGTCGAAGGACATAGCTGCGCAGTTTTTTGCCCAGTTTCGCTCTCGCAGCTCTTATCAGCTTTGGACGGACTTTTTAATCGGATATTTTACACGTACTCACGTGAATTGATGATTATATTCAATCTTTCATGAATAAGGTCGTATTGCTCACGGCTGTAATCTATGGCTTCCTCGTTGGAATAGCTTTGGTACAGGCTGGAGTGCAGAAGGGACGTCGAGGAGGACGAGATGTTGTCCTCCGATAGGTTCGAAAAAACACTCGACTCGTTGGAACCATCAGAACTGTTGGACGATGACGAAGTGTCGGCTAGACGTATTATATTGACACACGTGAGTAAACGGACAATATTACCTAAGCTGCTAATCATATACATATATTACCACTGCGATGATGTTCGTAAGTGTGCTTGTTGATGTTCTCCCACAAAACAGACAACGATATGATTCTCGTGTGGATGTGATCGGGCAACAGCTCGTGAATGTACTCGCTTTGGTTGACGTGCTGCCAACAACTCGGCGCCACGAGGATGTCACCGCCTCTGATTTTACGTTGTGTCGTGTGTGATTAAATACATAGATTTCATAGTTTACAATTATATATGTTCATACACGCGTACTGGCACAAGCCTTCGGCGAATTTCACCTCCCAAACTGGCTTTCCTGTTATTATGTAGTAAGACATCAAGTCGGGATTCCCGATGGACGTGAAGTACGTCTTTCCCGAGGCTATCGCCAGTTTCACTAAAAAGCAAAGTGTATGTACAGAGCATCAAATATAATGTATCCTTTTGTACATTTTGTAATTTTGTGTTGCATACCTTTGAGCTCGACGTCGATCTCGGTCTCGTAGGTGCCAAAGTGTTTCTGTATCACGCAGGCGGTTTTAATGGCCTCGGTGGCGATGTCCCGCATGACCCCACCAGCCTCGAGCTTCCACATGACGATGAACGCGTCGCCGGAAAACTTGAGCACGTCGCCGCCGTGCGACAGGATCTCCTGGACCATCGGCCCGATGTAGCTGTTGAGCGTGTCCGTGAGCTTGGACGGGCCGCCCTTGTCCGACTTTGTGAGCTTTTCCGTCATGTCCGTGAAGCCTGAATTGAATTTTAATAGTGTTTTTTTTTTTTTTTTTTTTTTTTTACCAAGTATATATGTAAACGTGAAAACTCAAAAGAATATATTGTTTCGTATGTGTATACGTAGATATACCGGATACGTCGCCCAGCATCAAGGTGGTTTTGTAACTTCTGGTGTCGTAGTCGTCGTAATGGTCGAGTATTTCGTCGGGGCACATCGAGGCGAAGATTTTCGTCTGGTTTCCCATGCGCGACGATTCAAAGCGAGACCTTTTTCGGGACGACCTGTTCATCTCGATTCTAGAACCTATATGATTTTTTTTTTTTTTTTTCATGTAGGTTAAATATATATTTTTGTATAAATGTTGTTTAGTTGAGTGTAAGTTTACTTGAATCTCTTGCCAAATCTTGGACCACCAAAGACGTATTCGACGATCCACGGGGTTGTTGTTTAGATTTTTTTCTTGACTTTCCCATGTTAGTGTGTGTAAATAGGTACACCTAAAATTGTAGATTTTTGGTGTGCAGCCTGAAGTGACGTACGCGATTTGTATATTTTATACATTTTATGAACAGTGTGAGATTCAACTTATTCCAATTTTAATTGAGAAAATCGTTGCTTACTACGGAAGCGTAACAATTTAAGAAACCGATTTATCCAGCAAAAAACCACGTATGAATTTAATGTGTTGAGTTATTTATATTGTTTGTTGATAATCGGTAGAATTTCGTTTACCTGCTTATAATTTAAAAAGTTTATTCATACATTGAGCCAAGCAAAAATAGGGCGAATATAATGGAGATCGGTAATGATCATTATACATACCGGTCATCTTCATTCAAGTATCGATGATGATGATGACTTTTGTAGTAGCCATATGTGTACGCTTAGTTCAAAGAAACGAGGAACTTGTTTTTTAATACGTATAATAAAATCTGTTTATGAAGATTTTTTGATAAAATATTGTTTTTTTTTGTAAATCGTTCTATAGATTGACAATTTAAACAAACGCCCGAGAGAATAAAGGCGCGGGTGTCTGCTATTTTTTTGTATATTTGGGGGGGGGGGAGTTGGGAGTTGGGAGAGAGTATACAAGAAGAGAGAGAAAGAATACACTGCTCTTCTGCTCGGTACACAATTGTTTTTTTTTTACAAGTCGCGATTGTTGCCGGTTGACCGGTATCGTTAATATGTTGACACTTGGTGAAATAACAAAAAATTAATCTATTTTGTCAGTATACAATCAATTAATATTTGTTTTGTTAGTATAGTGCTTTTTCTTACTCGTTAAGTTTATTTTTGGAAAGTTTTGAGGTTATGTATGTTCAAATCGAAGGCACTCGAAGAACATTACGTTTTATCATAAATGTGTGATGATTCGAATGGATTTTTAAAATCTGTAGAGGTATTATTAAAAACAGTATTAAATTTATTAATCAACTTGAATCTCGTTTTATCTAGCTTATTTTTCACCACGGTCTCTGTTTCTACATTAATATCCCTCAATTCTGATAATTGACAATTTCAGAACTAAAAAAAACTTTGTTCAAGTTCCCATATCTTGAATCATTATGTTGTAAAAACATTAAAAGATCGATTTGTACTGACTTATTTCAGATATAAAATAGATTTACATAATTCATAAGAATTGATGTGATACCACTTGCAGCACCTTATTCATTGAACATGAATGATTTTTACAATCCACTTGGCCCAAAAGCAGCATTTCCTCCACCACCTAAACCAAAACCCAAAAGAGTTCCAGTTTTTATGTACGATGAAGAGTGGGACAAAATAGCAATATACCTTGTGACCAATCATCAAAGATACAGAGAAAATATAATAATCCCTAGATGTCTGGGTGGAGGCTACATCAAATCAAATGAAGAAAAGAGTATTGAAAGATTTATGGAAAGCTGTGTTTTTAAAAGCATCATGAGTTGTGTTTTAGGTACATCAATTTTTTCTTGAAATGTAAAAAAAAAAATTATTTCCATTCCTTCTAAAGTTATCTGGTCATCAAAACGTCAAAATGCTTTGCAGGGTTTGGTCTTGGTGCGGCACTGGGTTTGTTCACATCAAGTGTGAACCCAAACGTCGCTGCTGTTGAAAAGCAACAAACAGCTCGTGAAGTCTTTCGGGAAATGAGAATGACAACATTATCTTATGCCAAAAACTTTGCTGTTATCGGTTTTTTCTTCTCAGGTGTTGAATGTGCCATAGAATCAGTAAGTTAATCATATTAAAATTATTTTTTACAATTATATGAAAATTGCTTTTGCCAATTTCAGTATCGTGGTAAAACTGATTGGAAGAATGGCACGTATGCAGGAGGCTTGACAGGAGGGCTTCTTGGTCTGAGAGGTAAAAACAAAATAAATCATACTTTTAGTTTTTCACAGTTTGTTATATACCTTTATAGAATACTTTTGCTCTTTTTTTTTTGTATAAAAAATTTTTCACATCTCATTCGTAGCCGGCGTCAAGGCAGGTATCGTTGGTGCCCTAGGCTTTGCAGCCTTCTCTACAGCAATTGATTATTACATGCACAAGGACTGAGCTGAGAGCCCAACGCACGCGCAGGCTTCTCAAGACGCTTGTCTTTGATATGTAAAAAATGAATTTGTATAAAAAAGAATACTTATATCGTGAGTCATTCTCACGACTTTGTTATATTTAAAACTAATAACAATACTCGTTAAAGTGATGTGTAAAGTATGTTAATAATAAAAAAAAATTGACTTGTTGAAATAATCTTAATAAAAAGTCTGTATATAACACCACTTTAATTTTGGAATTTTTTAAAGAATTAGAGATAAGCTATTGTTGCAGCTATTTTTATTACTCATAACTTTACCATTTAAAAGTATACTCTATGATAAATACTGTGCTTCATATACATATATTAATATTTTCAAGTATTAATTAATCGAAAATATCCATATATTCAGTGGTATGTTTTTTTCTAAATAAGTACATACCCGTGAATAGGCAAATACACAAATAGCATGAATTAAATCTAAAAAAATTTTAAAAAAACATTTAAAAAAAAATTACGAAAGAATAATGCTAGTGAACAAACAACGTGTTTGCCAAGTCCGTAAAGTACAGTTATGAAAAAATATATATTTTCGTGTCATACGCTTACAATGCGCCGCTTTATTTAAGTATACTTTGTAGTATACTTTTTGAATTGCAAAAGAAAAAATTAAATAAATAATCATATTTGGAAGTTTAGAGTCTAATATCTAAAAGATCTGTTTTACTTCTCAAAATGTTGGAAAATTGTTCTCTAAATACTGTCGAATTCTTTTTCTAGGTAACGAAACTCTAAGATTATAAAAGTACAAAAAGTAAAAAATTTGTTACAAGAATGACTGTAATAAGACACTTCTTAGGTTTCGATGTTTTTTTTTCTAAGCAAGTCTTTGCCTGAAGTAAAATCTCGCATTAAAATTGCTTCTCCAGCTTTCTTGTTCATTTAATAAAAAAGTTCCACCAAAACGTGAAATATATATGTCACGAGGTAATGGTCATAATCGTTTATGCACTTTGAGATTCAATTTTAAAAAACGCAAGGCAACTGGTTCGTACTTCACACCCGCATTCATCTTAGACTTTTAAAAACAGACTATCCAAGAAATAGACTCTCTCTTTCTCTTTGCAATCATTGCTCTCTTGGCACCAAATAAATAAAAATTTCTTATGGCTGCTGCTGCTGCATCTGAGCCTGCATAACGGCCAGCATTTCCTGCATTCTTCTAAGTTCGGCTTCCTTTTCTTGTAAAATGCGATCTTTTTCGGAAATACTGGTCTTGTCATTTTCGACGATACTGAAAATTACGCATGATACAATTAGATTCAGTTTGGTATGTAAAAAATTTTATAACAAACGTATTAGTATTAAAGAGCTATTTTTACGTTTGACGTCTTGGAGGAACCGGTGCTCCCTTAGCAAGTCGTTCGCTTCTATAATTTTCATAATGCACCTCTTGAGTGACTTCTTGCAAATCTTGCATGTGTGTGCTGAAATGGAAAGTAAACATTTCATAACATATTTGAAAGTCATATAATAAAAGTCACTAGCAATAACTCTTACATCAACATAGTTCTGAGCTTGATAAAGTCACAGTGGTCAGGATTTTCCACCTCGACGACTCCCCATGGATAAAGTCTTCCTCTGACTTTTCTTCCTTTGACCTCAAGCAGAGTAGTTGAGCCGCAAACTGCAAATGGAACAGCTTCTTTGAGCTGCTTTACCTGTTCCTTATAATCCTCGTCTTCATCACTATCGCAATCGGGAAGTGGATAAATTTTAATTCCATTTTCCTCGATTTCCTCTAAAACACGCTTCTTCAGGCGCAGCATCTCTTTCTTTGTTAATACGTCGGCTTTAGCGATCACAGGTACAACATTTACTTTGTTGTGTAGTTGCTTCATGAATTCAATATCCAATGGCTTGAGACTTTTGAAAAGAAAATTATGTTTTCGGTGTTTCATGCATTCATTAGAGTTACCTAGATTAGAAAAATATACGTACCCATGACCAAAGGGGGAAATGAAGTAAAAACAGCAGTGTATTCTGTTATCAACGATGTTTCTTCTGTTTAAACCACTCTCGTCTCTCAAAAATCTTTCAAACTGATCATCAATATACTGGATGATGGCTCTGAAGCTATCTGTATTGTCAATAGCATCGCCATACCCTGGTGTGTCAACTACAGTCAAGCGAAGCTTTACTCCTCTTTCTTCAATCTCAACTGTAGAAGCTTCAAGCTTTACTACCTGATTGGTTTTTTCTGTAAAAATAGAGCAAATTAGAATCCAAGAATAATAGTACATTATTCACATTGATAGCTACTTTAGTGCTTTATAAAAACATTAAAATAAAATAATATAAGTCCTAAAGTGTACAAAAAATAATACTTGAAGTACCATTAAAAATACATACTTATTTGTAGCATAGTGTATGTATATACATGCCTTTTAGAAGATAATCAAATAAATTTCAAATGCTTATCAACAACATTTAAACGATAAATCAAAAAATTAATCAAGGAGTGTAATTAATAACGTGTAAAGTAAAATTCGACATGAAGAAACACAATAAAAACATAAAAGTGTACTACATAAAATTTCAATTTTTCTAAATACCAAACGATTTCATCTATGAAGGCATATTTCACTTGTACTTACTACAAAGTTCTACCATGGCTATTGATTTAAAGAAATCACAAAAAAATAATTAGTCATTGAATGGTATAGAATTTCATTCATTGATAAAATACGAAAAATAATGTATTTAGTGCTATTTACCTGTTGCATTTGGAATGATTCGCTCGGGATACAAGTCAGTGAGAAAGAGACTGTTGACTAACGTTGATTTTCCAAGTCCTGACTCACCAACGACCATTAATGTAAACTCAAAACCTTTTTTGACCGACTTTCGATGCACTTGGTTTGGAAGATTTGCAAAGCCCACATAGCCGGGAGTTTCTAGATTTGCAAACTGAAAAAAAAATTTTTTTTATTTATACTAGTTATGATAACAATACCATGTACTGGCTTTATTTATGATTGAATAATGTTAGAAATATAAACTTTTGTAGTCTAGTAAGAAGAATTAAATTTTGAGAAATAAAAACACATCGTCGCGTGGTTTGACATTTACTTTGGTCAGCATTCCTCAGCATTTTTCAGTATCAATAAAAAAAATGCTGCGTTGCATTGAGAAAAGTGTTACTATGACTACACATATATATAATATTTACTTTTTGGCAGAATAATATTTACCAGTGAAACGGTCAAAATATTTTCGCACTATCGATTGATTGTTTTTACATATGGAAATAGCACTAGTAATTGTGAACTCGAGAGAATAACTGTTGATGTATGAGCGACTCTAACAAAGGAGTTACTGTGCCAATCAGAATGAAAAGTGGCTTCAATGACGCAAAAATTAGACACATCTGAATAACAAAAAAAAAAGTGCGAGCACGCGAACAAATTAATAACCATTAGTTATTAATATGAGATTATCATTTTATTGAAAAAATTCCATTATCGTCTTGCTAAAGGTTTCTGGATAAAAGAAGCGATGGAGATGATTTATCTTGATTGTAAAACGAAACCATGAAAATATGCACACCACTACTTGCTCTCTGAGTATGGAGGTACTCAGTCCCACAATTTAATAGACAACAGAGGATTTCTTTTTTTTCCCCCTCATTCGCATGACCTAAAAATATACTTTCAATTTGTCACGCGCGTGTCGAGAGTACTTCTACATATTATATATATATTCACCAAAGATTCAAGTTCAATCGCACTGCTGACACAGTGTTGACTCACGAATTAATAGAATACATCCTAAGTTACACAAAAGTAAAAGTTATTTATTCTTCGACTACAAGTTTCAGAGTAGCTATTATTGTCCATGAGATGCTCCAAAATGCATCTATCGATCGGTGCAATGAGACGTATACATGTACAACAAATAAATTTCGATAAACCCAAATTTATTTACCTTGCTCATCTTGGTAAATGCCTTGTGATGAGTTGTGAACTTCACACACGACTACAGCACGATACAGCTGATATATTGTAAATGTATTCTTCGTTCTCACGTGATGCACCGCGGATTCTCACAATGACTGATAAAAAAACAATACTCTCCACGAGTGGGTCCCGCCTACACTAAACCAAACACGCTAACCTCCGACGCTCACCAAATAAAAACTCTTCGGCTCTCTCTCTCTTACGAGTCTCGTGTTGGGCTCATCACAATATTGACTATATATACGCTCTCCGTCTCAATACCCCTGTTGGCTGGTACCCGTCAATAATAATAATAATCCCCCCACCAAGAAAAAAAAGAAGGAGTCTATTTGATTTTGCTGTTGCTCCGAAAGGAAATGAGCTGTATATGTATATTAGTACATACAAATAAATCCATACCACATTCATTTATTGCTCTCTTTTCTTTCCTCTTTTGTGGAAAATATAATCCGCAATTTCATGCATGTTTGCAAAAAACAGAGTAAATAAAGTATGTCCTAGTAGTAAAATCATTATTTTGCATTTACTTAAATTGTTACGTTTTTCTGACACTTACAAAAACTGAAGAATTTTATAGAGTTTGGCAATTTTTCAAACCATCAATAATCTTTTGATCTAAGGAATTTTCGAGTACGTGTTTGTCGTGAGTCGAAAAATGTAATTGTTGTACAGTTACATAAATAATATATAAAGTATACTCACCGTTTTGACGCTGTCATTCGACATTTTAATATATTGTAATGGATGATGGGTAGTAATAATGGTACAGTTTCTGGATTGTCGATTCTTTTTGGTGCTCCAAAATACAACTTCCGGCTTCCGGAGCCCGTGCAGTGCGCATACATAAACAAAAGCCCCGTTGAAATTAAGTATCGCGTTGCCTTTGATAATAAATTCTATGTAGCACCGGACAGCTAATAATATTATAAGTTGAACAAATTAAAAACTCCTGTTGTTTCTTTTTCCTCTAATTTTTATTTACTTTCTCGTTGCGATTAGTATACTTACGTATTTTTCAAAGGATGAAAGAGTATATTATTAAAGAGTTTAAAGATCCAAAATGCACAACAACTCACGACTCCGGTTTTCTACGCACTGAGAAACAGCGTATATGTATTTTCTTGATTCTATATATTTTCTCGATTATAAATAATTCGACGCATCGCAAAAAACACTTATAGAATTATACATATTGTTGAAATACAGATTTTGTAGCGTGGGCGAGGTGACTAATGCGAATTGGCCGAGTGTTCGACAAATGACTGAACGAGAGTTGGATAATGAACTGATGACGATATGATGTATCACACACGGTTACACATGCTTATGTATAAGTATACGTCAATACGTGTAGCGTCGCGACGAGTGTCAATAAATAAAATATAGAAGGGAAGCCGGGGGCAGAATAGAGGCGACCGCGGAAGCCAATGCGCGTGTGTGTAAAAAAAGTAATGTATAGGATCACCATAAAAAAATCTCCCTCTCGTGCAAGGCGTGGTCGAAGCTCTTTTCTTTGTTTTCTTTTTTTTTTCGCACAATTTTTGGATGTACCCACCTTACAACGAAAAATGATTTGATAAAAATAGTCATACATTTTAAAACTAAAAAATACTTTCTATGATGAATTAATAGTAAAAAAAAAAAAAAAGTAGTGATTGTAAATTTACAATAGAGCTTTTTGCATCCTATATTTTACTCTGTGTCTAAGTTTAATCAGTATCCACATTTTTTATGTACAAAGCGTTTAACAATATTTAATCAAACAAAATCTTTTAATTAATAAACAAACGTATTTATTTATTTTCAATTCGAATCGTGTGTAACACATGGAAATCAAAGTTTACTCACAATTATCAAATATCAAATGCGACAAATCTTACATGACAGTTTGGTCACAATAGTTTAATGATCACTAAACATTTTATCAAAATATTTGTTGTACAGAACTCCTGGGGCTCATGGGAGAAGCACCGTTGTATTGAGGTGTACAGACCCATTTTTTCAGACGCCAAAAAATCTTTGAATATAAGAACTATTTACATGTTGTGAGCCCCATTATAAGAAGTTTCTTTATCTTGTTTAACTTACATCTCTAAATACATGCTTTGATTTTTGAAAAATTACATTATTCCAATAATCTTCCATGCTTACATTATCTCAAAGTACACATAAGTATAAGAAAAATAAACGTTTTATCTTAAAATACTTAATGCTTAAAAATCTTGATCATCATTAGCAAGTTTTATGAAACTCTTGGGTACGTTTAACGCATAGCTCGAGAGTAGCAATAGCTTAGCAACCTATTCACTGTAATACATACCTGAATTCCGTGAAATTTTTTTATCTATTATATTTTATCTGTTAGTATACAATTAAGTAGACATAAAAAAATTTAAAAATTTAAAAAAAGAGAGAAGGCAGGCATTACTTTATATTATAAACAATTTTTGCAATAAAAATTGTTTGGAAATGTTTTCATCAAAATGTCTTCAAGTATTTCATCACAAGCAGAATAGTATTAATCACGACAAAACACAGCTCGAATGTCTTCTTACAGATGGTTTTTGCAAAACTTCCTTGGACTCGTCAGTAACATGGTTTAACGTTTGTTCTTTAAAATCGCCTGATGAGTATTGCCGGATTTTGTTTCGTAAACAAAATAACGTACTGTGCCTCTTCTTAGTAGATATTACGAGATCATTACCGTAATGCTCTTGTAAGCGACTTTTTATAGTTTCATCATCAGGAAAGTAGTCATCATCGCCCAAACAACTTTTAATTTCATCGAAGGAAAACTGTCCGTCTTCATTAGTATCAATATAATGATAAATTTTTTTCATGGTCACAGATTCGTCGTATGCTTCAGGACGCCTGATTACGTTTTCTGGTTCTTCTGTTGATCTTGAAAGATTGTACATCATCTCCAGGCACTTTCTATGATACTTGGCGTTCAATGCCACCAAATCAAGTTCAGGACTAAGTCGAGAAAATACTGTTTTTTGCACTCCGTTTTTTCTGCTGCTTACATAATTCAATATAGTACTTCTGAAATTGTGAGTTGTAACGGTACGAATGTCGCTCGTTCCTGCAGTTGCTTTTATTTCATCTGTGACATCTTCAGCGCATATAAAACACCTACTTGCCCAATCAAAACTATTATTGTACCTCGGAATTTTTGTTTTCGGACTGTACGGTGACAAAGAATTTCCTCGTCTTTTAATAGCGTCAATGTATCTCGTCGAAGTGTATTTTTTTCTACACTCCACGTGAACTGTTACGGACTCCATGTTTCGTAGGTCGTTCGAAAAACCATCGCTTCTTTCTTCGGATGCTTTTCGCAATGTGTCCATCCCTCTCACCACTGTCACACATTCTTCCGTGAGTAGGGGCTTCTCACAAATGAAGCAATTTATCGCAAAATCGAAACAATCCATTTTTTCATGGAATCTGAAATAAAGAACTATTAGTTTTACCAGCGATTTACGGGTTTTCGTTACTTAAACTACGTTTTGCGTCTCAATCGTTTTTCCTCATGTATCTTTATTGTTGCTGTTGAGAATGTATTCACAATCGTTATAAACGTTCAGCTGACAAAATTTGAAGAGTTGTTCGGCTTTTGGTATTTTAGCGCGCTTTGCTATCTGTACGGGGGATATTTATACATTTTTTATTATATAGATATAGGTATATAATGCGCGCGCGCACACACACGCACACGCGATGACCCGCCATCCTCATCAAAACCATAGAGATAATTTAATCTCTATGTCAAAAACTAATATTTTTATAACTGATGATGGAATTGAATCAACATTCGATTAAAAAGTAATTTTAAATTAATTAAAATACCTTCAATTATGTTAAAATGGGGTCACAGACTTAAATATGTATGTAGATAATATTAAATATAAGCAAAGTAGTGCAAACAATTAGTACAAACGGCACACATGCACTTAATATAACATATTTTAACTTATTTCATTTATTAATTAGTCTGTCCTAAGTACTAAAAAACTATAGATTTGACAAATAATCTAAAACTGTAACAAAGCGTCACTGCACTTATAACTTATAACGCAGTTAACGAAGCAACTTATACATATATACTTAAGCGAGAGCGAGAGCGAGAAAGCCGAGAAACGAAATTCCGCCCCACGAAGCACGAACCTACGGAAGCCTGGTCACGACATCTAGGTACATCATAACGCAGAAGCGCGCGCAAAAACAAGTACTTAAGTTAGTAAGTTTGAGTGCACAAAAACACGTCCGAGTACGAGAGTGCACGAAAGCGCGCAGTGATACTATAATTAGCAGAGATGAGTACAGTATCTAGATACTCTACTCCTCTCTGCTAATTTAGTAGTGCCATGTGCCATATGGTCGATTTTATTAAACCATATAAGTAGAATATCTATATTTTTGGAGGTCAATTTTTTGAAAGAAGATGGGTTGTAAACTTGCCGCAAATAGCAATGAAACTTTTAATTTTTTATTGTCTATCTATGAGATCAGTTGCGGCTGGTTTATAATCAATTACACGGCTCTACTATTAGTTGTAATAACCCACACAATTATTTAGATCAGCGCCATCTAGCGTTGCGGATTTTTGAACTAAAAAGTGGCCCTAAACTTTTGAACCAGAGCTTTAGCGCGTAGAGCCATTAAATCAATTATAAACCAGCCGCAACTCATCTTGTAGCTATAAAATAAAAAAATAACGGTACATGTGTTTTTGGCGGCAAGTTAACAATCTATCTTTTACTCGAAAATTTATCTTTAAAAGTATAAATGAATAGAAGGTCGATTTTTTGGTAGAAAATAGATTGTTAACTTGCCGCCAAAAACACATATATCGTTATTTTTTTATTTTATAGCTACATAATAAGTTGCGGCTGGTTTATAACTGACTAAATGGCTCTTAGCCCTTATGCTCGGTTTCAGAATTTTAGAGGCCACTTTTGGCGAAAAAATGAAAACCGCTAGATGGCGCTGATCAAAATAATTATTACAACTCACAATAGAGACATATAATAAACCAGCCGCAACTAATTTGATGAATAGAAAATAATAAGTTAACATTTTCTGTGCTATTTGCGGCAAGTTTACAATCTATCTTTTATCCATATAAAATCGACCATATTTACAAAACTACAATAATATTTTAGACCTTTTAACATTAACTTTTTAAGCATTGACAACATTTAAGTAGAATAATAAAAATAAAGTTATTTTCAATATTTCTTGCTGTTGACGGACTATTGTATACTCGATTGTATAATATCGATGTACAAAAAACATTAAAAATTAAATATGCACCAAGTACCTTTTTTACCAACAATCACAGATACTTAGCAACAACTTTTCCAATAAATGGAGAAAATATAAAAATAGAAATCTCTGAAATGATACTTTATTAGTATGTCAAACTAACTATTTTATTTTGATACACGTGTAATATTAGCAAATAATTCACGTTTGTTTAGTATATGCTACTTCGGCAATCTATTAACAGATAAATTTATTGTATACGCTTGCTGTGATTCTCTAAACAGCTAAATAACAAATACAATCGTGTTAAAACAACAAAAAAATGTTGACATTGTTTGACTTCTTTTAAGCTAACGATCTTCTGTAGGATAACCTAATTTTGCAATTAAATAATATACCGTTTGTTAATAAAATACCAAGATACTGATAAGGTTTAAGTTGGATAATATTCAAATACACATGCAAAAAAGGGAGGAATAAAGCATACAAGAAAGTAAAGCAATTTGTCATGTTCTAGCTAATTTATATTGATTAACATAGCTAAATGTTGCTATTTACATATAATATAAGTTAACTGTTTATTCGAACTATAAAGTTGAAAGGCTATGCTTCCATGAGTTAATGTTAAAAGGTCTAAAATATTATTGTAGTTTTGTAAATATGGTCGATTTTATATGGATAAAAGATAGATTGTAAACTTGCCGCAAATAGCACAGAAAATGTTAACTTATTATTTTCTATTCATCAAATTAGTTGCGGCTGGTTTATTATATGTCTCTATTGTGAGTTGTAATAATTATTTTGATCAGCGCCATCTAGCGGTTTTCATTTTTTCGCCAAAAGTGGCCTCTAAAATTCTGAAACCGAGCATAAGGGCTAAGAGCCATTTAGTCAGTTATAAACCAGCCGCAACTTATTATGTAGCTATAAAATAAAAAAATAACGATATATGTGTTTTTGGCGGCAAGTTAACAATCTATTTTCTACCAAAAAATCGACCTTCTATTCATTTATACTTTTAAAGATAAATTTTCGAGTAAAAGATAGATTGTTAACTTGCCGCCAAAAACACATGTACCGTTATTTTTTTATTTTATAGCTACAAGATGAGTTGCGGCTGGTTTTTAATTGATTTAATGGCCATACGCGTTAAAGCTCGGTTTCAGAAGTTTAGGTCCAATTTTTAGTTCAAAAATCCACAACGCTAGATGGCGCTGATCAAAATAATTGTTACAACTTACAGTAGTTGATATTTTTTAAGCTATTTGCGGCAAGTTTACAACCTATTTTTTTTTTTCGAAAATTGAAACTGTGCACTCATACTTGTTCTTATGCGTTTTTGTATGCAGATGTAACCGGGCTTCTGTACGAAGTACGAACCTCCACCCCGCACAGATGGTGTACTGCGAGATATCAAGATTTTTTTTATTTCGTTGACACGCCAATTATTACTGCAAATCACTCGCTTGAGGTGGTAAATTTTTGAAGTTGCGAGAGTAGGTGTAGGTTCTTCAAAATCAATCAGGGGAAGTGAGGTGGTGTGCGTGTGTGATAAATATAATTTTTTTTGCATATATCTGCATGTAGGTACAAGCGCTCACTATGTTTTCAACGGTAATAACTATTTAGAAAAATGTTAAAAAATTTAAAAAATTTCTGATCTTTAATAAATGACAAATCTTTTTACTTATAAGTATAAAAATCATCACTTGAAAAAAAAAAAAGTCAAAATGTAACTTAGTTATATTAGCATCAGTACTCATGTTTCTCAGAGTAGGGTGTTGATAAATTATTCAACTTGTATTAGAATTCCTCTTACAATAGAGAATAAAATAAATTTCAAGTTAGATATAAGACGAGAAAAAAAAAAACTTCAAATAAGAGTGATTAAATCGGTATATATTAAAGGGTAGTTTACAAAATACATTAATGATATCATATACACCAGTATTATTCACAGATCGAATTACACAAAAAAAAAAAAGAACGTCCTAGCTGTCAATTTTTACTATTTCTTTACGGTTTCGCAATCGTTTTTTTTTCTTTATATACGGCGACATATTACACGGATACGAGGCAAACAACTACTTTATTCACGGAATAAGTAAGTTCATATACAAGCACAACTTTACAATTAAAGTGAATTCGAGTTTTCCATTTTTTTTTTTTTTTTTATTATCTTAATAATTTTTCATTTCTGAGTTAAAAACTCATAGCGCTCTTCCTCTCTTATTTGCTTTAACATATATTTTCTTAAAAATCATTTTCATGTTTTATCATTAATTTTTTCATGCCTAACCATTATTTCAGCACAATTCACTTAAATCGATAAAAACCACAGGACCATAGACATTCTCGAAGGTATACGATCCATCATCGTACCAACGCGCACAGATTGTTTTCTCATTATTTTTTTTTTGATTCAGCAAAGATCCGACGTATTCACGAATGAGTTCATGTCGATTTCTTTGGATAAGTTTTAGGCTGCTCATCACTGCTGTAATTTTCATAACAGTTTTCTAAATAATTTATTCTATTTCATTATAAACCTTTTTTTTTATTTCTTGTATAGACTTATTTTCGTAGCAAAGATTATGAAGTATCTCAGTTTATACAGTGATAAAGGAGAGTGGAGCTCCGAGATGAAAGTATGAAACACTAAAAAAAAAAAAAAAAAAAAACAGTTGTTAACTGCTGTGTTTGGAGACAAGATACTTCATTACCTTTCTTTTGTACTCTTTGAAAATGAAAAATTTGCGGAGGAGTAAAGCAACGATACGATTTTCTGTAAGTTCTATTTAGTCACTTGAAAAACTCGTTGCATTGAGCATATTCGAAATAACTTGATAAGTTATTTTTTCCCTTTTTTTTTATCCTTATAACTATTGTTCTTGTTGCGCATCGGGCAATGCCATAAATATCTTCGGATGTTTTGGTTCATAAGTGAAAGAAGTCGCGAAGTGAATTTTGTTCATTCGATCACGAAATCTGGTCTAGTGCTATGTATATCAAAATCTGTATATTCGCGAGCGCCTCTCTTGAATCATCATCATCCACATCATCTATTTTATAATCCTAATTATTCACAATAATAATCGGTAATCATACATGCACCAAAGCACTCGTCAATGCTTGGGTAGTTCCGTGTGAAGTACGTTATTACTATTTCGGTTTATTTTTTCCTCTTCTGAGAGCAGTCTCAGTTTTATACACACTTTTTTTCATTATTAAGTGCTTTAACAATGAGTTTAGATAGAAAATATTGTTCCTCTAGTATTGCCACAGAAAAATGCAGTTGCTGAGAGACAGAGGCTTGGTATTTAAAAAAATCTTATTCCGTGTGAAATGATTTAAAGAAAAATAATAAATTACACAATTATGTATATCTTGGATTATAGATAACTTGGCGAGAGCATCGATAATTTACCGCATCGTGGTTACAACTGAAAAAGCATTTTTTAACTTTCAAAATTCGTCAAAAAGATTGCAGTGGATAAAATCAATGACTTTCATACATCGTTGATAATTGCGCATAGGTATGTACATTTAAAAAAAATTATTATTAATAGCGATTAAATTTTTTACAAGTAAGAAAAACTTTCAATGATCAATGCTCTTCAGACATTAAAAAAAAAAAAAAAAAAAGAAAAAAAAATTAACTAAACAAGGCTACATACAAACAAATTTGTTTGAAGACACAATTCAAAACATAAAAAAATACATCCAAACCAAATTTTTACATATTTCAACTTTTTCAAGTAACAAATAATTTTTTTTTTTTTCTTCATATATGATATAAGAAAAACAAACTGTCAAAACTGTTTCGAAGCAGTGTCTGTCTTCTCAACAAAACAAAAGAAAATCTCTTGCAGGAAGATTCTTCTCATGGATATATTTTTTTTACTAATTAGGTTTGAAAATTTATAAACTGTAATCAAGATAAGTGAAGAAAAAAATGTATCGTTTTATCCATGGGAAGATTCCACCCATTGATGTCTAAACAGGTAAATGGAAGGAGCCTTACTTTTAAAGTTTTGTTTGCATTATCTTATATCCAATGAAACTCTTGCCGTCACACATGATTGAATTTTCTCGATCTTTTGGATAACGTTGATAAGAGGAGAAAAAAATTATCATACGTCACGGTAAAATATTTCTCGGTTTACTTATCATCGTTTTCGATTTTCTCTTCTCGGGGTTTAGCTCCACCATAGATTGCGCTTCGTGCGGTGGTGTCGGCTAACGAGTTCACAGGAGCGTCGACAGTTCTCGGTTTTAACTTCAAAGGCTTTCTGCCGGTTGTGTCTAAAATTTAATGATAGCATATCAGTGTCTTATTACGTTAATCGTTACTTTAAAATTAATAAATAAATAAAAGTTTACAACGGATTCTTAAATTAAATTATGAGTCAATTACCTGGTGGTGTACTATTCATGAAGGGTTCGTCCTTATAGCTTCTGTCGGAGCCCGGACCATCTCGAGATCTGCCGCCACCGTACCTCGACGAACCGCCAGGACCCCGTTGATGATCATCGGAGCCACTGCCACCTCGATAGTTCCAATCGCGACTACCGGAATTGTCATTAAAACCACCGCCACCGTACCCACGGCTACCGCTTCGACTGTCGTTATAGCCGCCGCCCTGCCTCCCTCCACCCATTCCTCGATCGTTGTAGTTTCCTAAGCAAGGATGATGTTAGTATTGTTAACGTTGACGTCATAAAATTATAACACAATGTTTACATCAAATCATGAAATTTCATAAAACATATACACCTGTACAAGAACTAACAGTTCAAAATAATTAAGTTTTAAAAAACCCCAAGTTTTTAAAATTCAGTTTCAAAGCCGTTACTAATGTTCTGATGGAATAAAACATAATTGACGTTTTTGCTAAAGATAAATTAACCTTTTTTAATACTATTGTATCATCAGAACAAGAGTGTCAGAGGCGTTTTTGTGTTATCAAATAATATTTATCTCCAGTTGATGGAAAGTCATATTTCTTAATGATTTATAAGATTGAAGCACATTATAAGTAAATTATGCCAAGTTCAACGAAAAAAACAAAAATAATTAATGCAAAAAGCACTGCATGAAAAATAAAAGTCTAATACAACAGTTGGACAATAAAGCAAAAAATATACAAGTGTTTAGTTTTAAAGTGTAAAAATTAGTATAACGTTCACTTGGATATGCAAATGAACTACCAAAATCATTGTATCCTCTTGGGGGTCCACTACCTTCTCGTCCTCTATTGAAACCGCCACCTGGAGGACCACTTCTATTTCTGTTATCGAAACCGCCTCCTCCTCTTCTATCGTTTCTTTTATCCTCGGCCACATCAATTTTAATCATGTGTCCCTCCACACTAACCATACCATTCAACGTAAGTGCCTGCTTCAGATCGGAGAGATCATCGAACTCAACATAACAAAAACCTTTAAACCTAAAATAATGATTCATCAGTTAGTTATGGCGCAAGAATTCAGAAGGGCAGCTAAGATTCTTAAACTCTTACATAAATGAATGTAAACCGTTTTTTATTCATTGGTTTAAATGGGCTGTATAAAAATATCAATTTAATTTTCTTAGGTTTTACACTTGTGTAAGAATATTTATCAAAATCCTAGAATTTGATGTAAGAATCAAGCACTCTCAAGAAGAAGTGTACAAACCTATCGGTATCACGATCTTTGACAAGTCTAATATTTTTGACATTCATGTTGGCAAAAATTTTGTCAACGTCACCCTGGACAATGCCATTGGGTAGATTACCAACAAATGCTTTGTACGGTGGCTCCATGGGCAAGGGCTTGCTGCTTCCACCGCCTCCACGTCCATAATTACTAAAACAATAAGTTAACAATCTTTATCTTGTTATTTCAATTGCAACATACTTATATTGATAGCAAATAATGTATGCACGTGAGCTGGACAGGGACAGGACAGCGGCTCTCGAGAGGCAACAACGTGTATTAGACATGTGTGTGTACATGTACGTGGTACAGAGACCGTGAGCGCGTGTGGCTCCGGTCTGGAAGTCGCCCGAATATCGTATTAACCGAAGTAAGTCGCTAGAGCCCGAAATAAAATGAGCGAAGCTGGTGTTCTAAAAAATTGGAGACTCCCAGCTGAAAACCCACGCAAGCCATGCGTCTATACAGGCTCCCAGCTTGCGACAGGGCTTAACCTCGGCTCGACACATAACCTGGTGGGTGTGTTGAGTGTGCACACTCGTGAGATCATCGAGTCACTTCCAAAGGGTGCAAGATATAAAAAAAAAATAGCACAAGCAGAGCGCGCGCGCGTGATCTTTCCCCGCGCCGAGAAGAAGACGTGGGTCAGGAGATAGGAGGGGGTGTGCTAATTCAGAAGACATCGCTTCGACGATTTATCACAGAAGATATACTTGCCTATCATCGTAACCACCTCGTCCAGCCATGTTGGATGCACACAAGTTGAGGTGTACAAAACTTAAAAGTTAATGAAAAATAGTTGGTTTATTGTTGTGGATGGAGATGTTGTCCCCGTGTGTATAACTTGCACAGTAGCCCGCGCGAGAGACCGAAAAAAAAGAGATAAGTGTACTTATAACGAAAGGCAGAACCGAAGAATTGCGATATTCGTGATATCTGGGTATAGATAAGTCCTCGGCTGAAGCGCCAAAGAGACTGAACGAGCATACGATCTGTGTGTTGTACAGTTGTACATGTGTGTGTGAGAGTGGGAGCCACCCCCACCCCCGCTGTTTCGTACTCTTTTTTTTCTTTCACGCCACACCCCTCTTTCCTCTATCCCCCTCCGCTTGAGACTGCTTTTTTGCGCCTATGCCGAATGCTGGTAACACTCCGATCATCTGCGGTTGGTAAGGAAGTATCCGCGAAGCTTGGACTATGGTAAGAAAGAGTTTCTTTAGTTGTTACTTTTATTTTATTGACTACAGCCTTATTAAAAACTGTCATCGCTAAATTAAATAACGTTATTTATTCAATTTATAATGATTTTATTTGGACAAGAATAAAAAAACTGTTTTCTACGAAACACCCAACAAAAAATAATGCATTAGACGTAAGAGAGAAAGTGTGTCAAGCCTTGAAATATACTTACTTGTTGATCAAAAACAAAATATACGATTATTTCATTTTTACTTGTTTGATTATTTTACATTAATTTTCTTTTGACTTTACTGGAAAAAAAAGAAAAAGAAAATATGAACAAAAATAAAATAAAATGCAGTTATTAGGAAAAATTTACTAAAAAAACTGATTTTACAGAATTTACTATATTGCTATTCTGAGTTCTAACTATTCATTAGCATAGATTTAATATTTGTATATCTAATAGACAATAATGATTTACTTTGAGATATATTATTGTGAGTCGAGACCGTATCTGCGAAAGTAAGTACAGAAAAGAAGACGACAGAATTATATGGACATATATTTAAATAATTCATTACCTAAAAATAATAATAATTGATTTTTGCAAAAAAAAATCTTATGTATACTTTTGTATAAGTTTATAATCTATAATACGCACTATATAATATATACTATGTCCGCTGCAATCGAGCTTGTCAAAAACGTCTGATACTATACTTAGGTATAAGTAATTAAGTGCCATACATATAGTTTAACATAACGTCATTATGTCATGTACAAAATATCTCCGATCTTGAGCTCAAGCTTCATTCAGTTCACGCTCGCGTATCCTATTGTCAAGTTGTCAACTTTCAACTTGTTTGCAAACTTTGCATCTTTGCATGAGTCGTTAACCAAAACGTTGTCCATCGTTTATCGTTTAAATTTTCCCTTCAACTTGTGCGTATATAGGTACACAACTTGCAATCTTCATACTCATCTGCAAATTAGTATAAAAATACTCTCTGAACGCAAAAACCGGGTAAGCAACTCTTCTGTGGGTCAGACTTTTTTTACGTAGAATAAAAAAAAAAAAAAAGAAAGAAATTTCAGTGAAAAAGAAGCTTGTTTGTAAACGTGTGTTTGTTTATCTACAATCATCTGTTTGGTAATTTGTGGCGCTGGATCAATTTCTTTTATTATTATTTAATGGATCCACGCAACATTGTCTAACATTGCGTGTCTTTAACACCTGATATTTGAATGTACGTAAATCTAACATTTTTTGTGATAGTGTGGATATTATAATATACGGTTATTGTACTTTTTTGTATAATTATTAGGGTTAAATACTTATGTAGGTACATATAGTAGTAAGGTCTATACTTTAGTAACAGCACTTCACGGATATTTTAGGAATTTTCGGGGGCACAGACACAGAGCGAGCTATACTTAAGTGAGAGAGACGTAGACAAGGAAATAGAACAATAAAAAAAACACAACAGATCATAAGCTAAGCGGAGTTGCAGGATTTATATATACTTATATATCTGCTCAATCAAGAGGATTTTGTCGGTATATAAATACAAGTACAGTAGTCTTATCCCATTATGTGATTGATTGCTCAGTTACACTACATACTTGATAAAATGTTGTTACGATTATTTAGTTTATCGTGCACCTATCTGCAGATCTGCACCATGTACTTTGACATTACATATACATATATATATATATATACATTTTGTACACACACTGTCTCTAATATGTCAAACAGCATACCTACTTATATAAATATGTCTTATATGCGATTTTTTATACAGCACCTGATTTCTAAACTTATTTGAAGAAACTGGTCATGTGCACGAACCATTCAGTCGTATCTATACCTAGATAATATTATAAATTTCATATAACATTGTTGTTGTTTATCTGCAAACTAGCCTCGTTTTTTTATTATAATATATGGGTTGCGTGTGACAAAAGTGTGCAAATTAATTAAGTGTTGGTTTGGTTCTTTTTTTTATTGAGCACTTGATAATTAGTTACGTCTCACGTCTGTTCTTATTTGAGTATAAGTATAGGTACGTTAGATAAGTACGAAGAGATCTGGCTCTTGCTTTTTTTCAAGGTTCATTATTTAAATAGTATTCGTCAGTACTATATGGTGCTTACTCTATTTTACCACAATTTTAAAATTTCCTTGCATCCCTGTAAACAATAAGACAATCTGGGGTTACAAAGTAAATAAGTCGAAGCTTTAACATACATGTTTTTTATTTTTTTTTCCTTTACGTTTTATCTGCATGTTTTGAGCCACAGTGGGAGCTATCTCTTCTCTCCTGTTGCTATGCAATGTACACTACAATATAATAATGTATAAGCTTTTTGGTGAATAATCCAAAAAACAATCTGATTCCCTGTTGTAGGTGGTCAAAACTATTAGTACCATGAACAAAAAGGGATCACCACCACCCTACGACCAACCTCCCCTTGCACCACCCAGTTATGCCCAGTGTGTAGGTGGTGTGCCACCAGCGAGTCCATTTACCCCAGCTGAACAATGTGAGTCTTGATATTTATTTAACATGTTAGATTAAGATCTTCTCTTGAACTTCAACATATTTTTTCTTTTTTTACAATTTTTTTACTCAGAATTCAAAAAGTGCTTCAAAAGTATTTGCGTGTCCGTGACTTTTGTATTAATTGACAATTTTTTAATAGATGTCAATGGACCTGCAATAGTAACGACAATAGTTCCTCTGGGGCCTGGTTCAACACACACAATATGTCCACACTGTTATTGTGAAATCACTACCCAAACGAGAACAGAGCCTGGACTGATTGCTTACATTTCAGGATTTCTCATTGCTCTCATTGGGTACGTGATGCATTTCTATTCATGCAAACCTTATCATCTATTCATTGGTTTTATTTCTCAAGCTTTGGTTATTCATTTTAATGTTATTACATAAATAATATCATGTAACGTGTTAATCTCAATAATTTGAAACTCTATTTGTTTGTGTTTGCATGTGTCGGGCATAAATCCTTAAACGTTTAAAACGAAAATTTGGTATTCATAAAATGCATTTGCATAAAAAAATAATCCAATCTATAAATAAACTCATGTCTTCCGTGCTGCATATTTTAGATGCTGGGCAGGCTGCTGTTTGATTCCATGTTGCATAGATGAGTGCATGGACGTTCATCATACATGTCCAAACTGCAAGGCATATTTGGGTCGTCACCGTAGATAAATGCGTTGTCTGCCACAAATGCTTTTTTTATAAAGCCTCTTTTACATTGAGAGTATTTCTCTGAGCTTCGCGGTAAATTAGTTAATTCACGCGTGCACAAAATATATTGTAATAAATGAATGCTTAAAGCATAGTTGCAAGCATAAAAATATTGTGAAAGTCACTTGAAAATTAAAGTATTTTTTTTTAAGGATTTTGATTGATTATTTTGCAACTAAACAAATAATAAACAAATTTTGTTTTTCAATTTGGCATATGACTTATTTTCAAGTTTAGTTACGTTTGATTTATTTACATGAAAGCTTTGATATGAAAAAGTCAAAAATAAATGATTCATTAGTTTTGTACTTAATAAGTTTAAATCAAAATCCTTGGCAATATTTTTATATTGTAATACAAATAAAAATCTATATTGTGTTAGTAATAAGAGCAATTGTTAGTGCCTTACTATTGATAATTACCACTACTACCAAAAATACTTAAATAATATATAATTGTATGGATCCCCATCGCATTGTTATCGAATATTACATCGAATCTTTGTTATAGATGATATCCTAATGCATAAAATAGCTTATTTGGAGAATTGACTTAAAAATTTCCGAAAAATTGAAAAATACTTGCAATGCTATTAAAGCTTTCCTTCCATTCAACATTACTTCGTTGCATTTAATATAAATAACTTTAAACTCCTTGAGTTAAAAAATAAAAAAAAATAAAAAAAACATTTTTTGTCATTGACAAGTCATTTATTGATATGCATATTACAAGAACTGATAGTTAGATAAATTCAGTGCAATATATGTATTTTAAGATCGCTTCTTTGAAAGAGTTTATCTGTCTTAAAAAATATCTAATGTATTGATCATATCAACATTTTAAAAGTTTACCATTTTTTTTACATTTAATGTGTATAGTTGAAAAAAACTATAAAATTTATAAACATATTTTTAAAACTAAAATTTAAGTATTTGCTTGATTTAATAATGAATACTGACTTTAACACTTTTGTTAAAAACCAAACACAATGTGACCATTGAAACAACAAAGTTACCAAAATTATCTCAGTATTGTATACAAAAATATAAACCTTTGTAACTAAAGAGCGCAATTCAAGAAGATTTAATCATTGGACCATACCTATGTTTTTTTAATAAAGTAAATTAAGTTGATATTAATTTTTTGCATTAATTATTTGATCCTTACCTTCTGTTCGAAAAATTGTAATAAATATTACTGAAAATTCATTACGTCACCCCAAAACCAAGATAAACTGAATTAAGTGCGTGTGTTGAGATTTTTTTTGTTGAGACCTTGAGATTTTTTTTGTACAGATTTTTTTTAGAACGAAGAACAGCTGAGCTGAAGCTGAATTTTCCATAACCTATATGTAATTTATTATCTCAACAATATAATCATCATTATCTGATATATTTTTGTTTTGTGTCACTGTTTCGAGATGAATTTAATTAGTATTAAGTGATGTCACGTAAAAAAAAATATCAACTTTTTTTTATCAAAAGTTAATGATAATATATGTGGAGATCGTACTTTTTGTATTAAGAGGAAATATGGAGTCAATTGATGTATGTACAAAGTGTAAGTAACTTATTACATTTAGCATGCTAAACATAATTCATAAATTTTCTCAATATGACTTCAAATTTGTTCCTAACATTTCATTAATACTAAGTATCAATGAAAAAAAAAAAAAAAAAAAAAAAAAAAAAAAAAAAAAAAAAAACAAGTAAATTTGATTGTTGTTAGCAGTATGTTTTTGTTATTGCAGGTGACAGTACCTGCTGAATAGAAACAACGACGAAACTTATCCATGGATATAAGATATACCACCAATAATTATGTCAATAAGTATGTTATAAAATATTAAATATTGAAAAATCTATCATCTCTTAAAATGTGGCAAAAATCGGGAATGTTCTGTCAGCGTTTCTTTACCAAGAACGTAAAATTATTAAACGTCAATCACAATGGTATCGTGAGGACTAGTACAACTGCAACACCAGCTTCGAATGAAGAATCACCCCCAAAGGAAGCTGAAGTAGTAATATGCGGAGGTGGCGTGATGGGTGCTGCTGTGGCATACCATCTAGCCATCAGAGGATGGGGAGACAAAACAGTACTGATCGAAAGCAGCAGGTTGGTGTTTAATAACTTTATTTAAATTTATTTTTAATTGTAACGATTCGTTGCTATTTGCAGACTGGGTGGAGGAACAACGTGGCATGCGTCGGGTCTGATGGGTGTCTTTAAACCATCTCTGGCACAAATAAGGCTAGCTCAGGATAGTATAGCTCTGTACAAAGAACTCGAAGGAAAAGCCTTAACCACTGGCTGGAAACAGTGTGGTAGTTTATCTCTGGCAAAAACTGGAGATCGTATGACTGTATTCCGGAGAATGAAAGCACAATCAGTGTAAATAACGCAAGTTCATTATACATCACCCATTGGTGTGTTTAGTATTAGATTTGTTGATGTTTATTTTTCCCAGATGTCACAACATAGAGTGCCATTTGGTAACACCCGAAGAGATCAAATCAATATGTCCATTGCTAAAAGTTGACGATCTTTACGGAGGTCTGTGGATCCCTGGCGACGGTGTGGGAGATCCATACGAAATATGTTTGACATTGGTCAGAGAAGCCGTGAAACAAGGTTCACCTTTAAGCCACTGATTTGCCCTGTTGTGTTGAAAACATTGAAATTTTTTTTTTTTTTTTTTTCCAGGCGTGCGAGTGTACGAAAATTGTAGATTAACCAAAGTGAAAAGCACAAACGAGAGAGTAGAGGCTGTCGAAACGACGCGCGGAACGATAGAGTGCAAATACTTTGTTAACTGTAGCGGATTCTGGGCACGGAGCGTCGGAAAACTGAGCGAACCTTACGTCAAGGTAAACGAAGAAGAATATCGCGAGATTTTGAAAAGAAATTAAAATTCGATTTAATCCAAGGTTCCCCTGCATCCCGTGGAACACTACTATCTGCACACGAAACTGATCCCTGGCTTGGATCCAATGACTCCAGTGATTCGAGATTTGGATGGGCACATCTACTTCCGAGAAAACGCGGGCCGCATCCTAGCCGGAGGCTTCGATCCCGTTGCTAAGCCTGTCTTCGAGGACGGTCTCATACCTGGTACATACCGTATATAAGCGCATTTTACCATTTTATAACAAAAAGTTGTAACGATCGCGTATCGATTCAGAAGACCCGAGCAATCGCTACTTGCCTCCGGACTGGGATCATTTTCACGTACTACTGGAGCAAATGCTGCACAGAATACCAGACCTCAACGACGCGACCTTGGAAATGCTCTGCAACGGCCCGGAAGCCTTTTCTCCCGATTGCAAGTGGATAATCGGTGAGTCGCCCGAGATCCGAAACTACTTTGTCGCCGCTGGTATGAAAACGGTAAGAAGATTCAAAAATCCTCGGGGCCTGACACATCCGAATGCCTATATAATTATAGCGACAGTCTCGATCCACAGATCGGCATCTCGGCGGCTGGAGGGGTCGGGCGCATAACAGCCGAGTTGATAACCGGTGGCCTGGCGAGCCTTGATTTTTACGAGCTGGACCTGATGCGCTTCCTCGGCTTGCACAACAACCGCAAGTTCTTGCGGGACCGCGTCAAAGAAGTGCCGGGCATGCATTACGCTCTGCAATATCCGCACCACGAGTTCAAGAACGGCAGGAATTTGAGGATGTCGCCGATCTACCCGAAATTGAAGGAGGCGGGTGCCGTGTTCGGACAGGTCATGGGGTACGAGAGACCCAGCTGGTTTGAGCTTGATCCCGAACAAGGTAACGATCACTTTTCTCTTACTGTTAATGAGTTTTCTTGAATTTCTTTGATTGTTTTTAACAGATTTGGATCCGGTGGACGGTTCGCAGAGGTACAAGATCGCGTACACGAATACTTTCGGCAAGCCTCCCTGGTTCGGCGCGGTTGAAAGAGAGTACGCCGCTTGCAGGGAGACGATCGGTCTCAGTGATTACTCTTCGTTCACAAAAATCGATCTATGGGTAAGAGCTTGGGTTTCATAGCTTTTTTCCAAACTATTTTTCTGATTTTCCGAATTTATTTTCAGTCCAATGGAACGGAGGTGGTGGATTTCTTGCAATACATGTGCTCGAACGACGTCGACGTGGCAGTCGGTAGTATCATCCACACGGGGATGCAAAATCATCGCGGTGGCTACGAGAACGACTGCAGCTTGGCGAGGATAGCTCCAAATCAGTACGATTTAGGGCGTTAAAAATATATTTCCAACCCATCGAACTGACATTTGGATCTTTGCGTTTCAGTTACATGATGATTGCCCCGACGATTCAGCAAACTCGGTGTAAACATTGGCTCAAGCGGCATTTGCCCTCGGACGGCTCCGTTGCCGTGTCCGACGTAACTTCGGCGTACACGGCTATTTGCATCATGGGACCAGCAACTAGGCAATTACTGTCCGAACTGACTGACATTGATTTGAATCCAAAGAACTTTCCCTTTTTTACCTTCAAAGTATTATTTATGTTCTATCATTGTGTAAAATGAAATTCAGCAGAAATGTTAATTTTTTTTTTCTTTACTTTTTGTGTTACAACGTAAGGAGTTAGACGTTGGATTAGCCAATGGGATTCGGACCATGAATCTAACGCACACGGGAGAATTAGGCTATGTTCTTTACATTCCTAACGAAGTGAGTGCGTGAGTGAATTTTCAACTTTAAAAATTGTTCAACTAACTTATTTTTTTCAGTTTGCTCTTCACGTTTACACGAGATTGATAGAGGCCGGTGAGAAGTATAAGATACGGCACGCTGGTTATTACGCCACAAGAGCCTTGAGAGTCGAGAAATTTTATGCTTTTTGGGGACAGGATTTAGACACGTTTACTACACCCCTAGAGTGCGGCCGCTCTTGGAGAGTCAAGTTCGACGTTAGTTCTTACATTATCGACGACTTGTAATATTTCGTTATGTCTTTGGCAAGTTTTTATTATTTTTAAAAATGTTTACAGAAAGAAGTAAACTTCATAGGTAAAGACGCTTTATTAAAACAGAGGGAAGAAGGTGTGAAACGGCAGTACGTACAATTGTTGATCAATGATCATGATTCAGACATCGATACGTGGTGTTGGGGCGGTGAGCCTATTTATAGGAACGGAAAGTACTGTGGAATGACCACGACTACGGGTTACGGTTTCACATTCAAAAAACAAGTTGGTCCATTTGAATATTTTTAAAGAGTCATGTTGGGAAAAACTTATTCAATTTGATAATTTTTATTATAGGTATGCTTGGGCTTTGTACAAAATCTAGACTCGAAAGGGGTGCCTCAGACCGTAACTAATCAGTATATACTCTCTGGAGATTACGAGGTTGACATTGCCGGTATCAAGTTTCATGCCAAGTGTCATTTGCACAGTCCAAATCTGCCAACCAAGTTTCCCGATCAGGAAAGAGATTCTTACCACGCAACGCGTGATCATCAAACTGCGTAAATCGGCTTTTCGTCAAGATTTTATACATACATGTATTTTTTAATGACGACAGTAATGATTAATTTTTTAGTTTAAAAGCAATACTTTGATTTATTTCTCGTAATTTTAATTATTGTTTGAAAGGAAAAAATGTATTTTTAAAATTTTTTAGTTCGCGTTGTTTAACAACGTTGAGACGATGTGTGTATTGCAGCCGTCAAATATTTTATATTTAACAAAAGATATTGTAGATATTTGTATTTATGCACTTCGAAATAAAGTATGTACTTATTGGTTTTTATTTTTATGAAAAGAAAAAGCTTTATTGATTAAGTATCTAGTTTCAAAAATCTTAAGAGCTACAAGTCCATTTACTTATCACTTGATTGGGCAATTACTTGTGTACAGTAAACAACATAAATAGAAACTTCATTTGTTTGACAAATCTCACTCGTTTTAGATATTCTTTACATACACGCTTATTTCTAATCGCGTTACAGGCGTAAACTCATTGAAAACATCTTTCATCATTTGTACAATATTACAAAAGGTAGGTACCTTTTTTTGTTTCAAAGAATCAAAAAAAGTTTATGTATATTTATATATGTATACATAAATATGTATATACATATACCCTTTAGTTGTTGCTCTTTGCAATCATCTTTTTCAAGTATTACATTATACACATGACTATTATTACAATTAATATCAGTTTGCATCTTGATTTTCAAATAAAACTTAAAAAAAGAGCTGAAATTATCATCGTTCACATCGTCGCATTTTCAAAGAATATCTATTCTTTAAAATTGTCCATTCAGAAATACAAGATTTTTAAGAGACTTAAGAGTTTCGTTGCCAGTTTTACATATCAATCATTTGTTATATTGACTCTACTTACCTTGGCTTAAAAATTACCATGTTTATTTATATATGTATACAATATTATCAATGTAAGATTCATTATGATAGTAAATTATAAAATGTATGGTACATCTAGAGTTTAACAATTTTTTTATACACTCGCGTCTATCTCGCTACAAGCTATACACGCCCAATCTTGATAGTTTGACAACTGGTGACGCCTTCATCACTCAGGAATTTCATTGTCGGAAGTCGGCTGTACCTGCTTTGGAACCATGCACGAGCGTGCAACCGATTCGAACAATTTTTCAATTTCATGAGCGCAGTGCACAAATTCATGGTCCCAAAACTTGTAACTCGAGTTTTTTATCAGTTCAATGAACGTGATGAGCAAACCCCAAGGATGTGGTCTATTTACAATGAGACGTTCGAGTAAAACGCGAGTTATTTGCTCCTGGATGGCTTCGGTGTTCGCCTCCGAGAAGAGATAGAGCAGCGTGCAGCTAAAGTAGTGGGTGTGACTGTTGGGATAGCGCAGTTGGTTGGCTATTGCGTTCAAGAAAAGATAACGACCCTCGGTGTCTAAATCAACGGCCAAGTTCTGGAAGATGTCCATGTGCGCTGAGTGGGCGATCGTCGACATGCTAGGTGTCAACCCTTTGCTGCGAATGAAGGCGATCGCTTGGGTGCCCACGTACAAAACGAGCGCATTCATCAACTGTATGTTGTAACGCATACCTGGCTCCTGTGACACCTGTGATATCATCGTTTTAAACACACTGTGAGCTGCTTTTCAAAATTAGAGTAATTTTAATGCAAGGTGTATGATTTTACCTGAAGATTTGTACGAAGATCGCTCAGGAAGGTGACCGGAGCTCGGGCTTTGAGGTACGAGTCCAATTCCTTCTTGAACGAGGCGGGCTGTATGAGCGAGGCATAATTTGTGAGCACGCGAGGAGCATGAGCTATCTCCTGGAGCATGTCGACCTTGAGATTAGGCGTGAAAGGATCGGGTAGACGCATGTTACGCGGGAACGCGCTCAAGATGAGGTTACGCATTTGGATGCAGTTTGGCGGTATGACGTCGCAAAAACCGTAATGGTAGTCGCAAAGGAACTCTGGGAAATCGTGGAGTAGTACCAGCAGGACACGAAGCGTACCTTTGTAGAGTAGTGTTACCGGCTTTGCTGTAAAAATGAAAAAAAAAAAAAAAAAAAAAAAAAAAAAAAAATTAACTCCATGTGTACTTGACGTTTTAATTTTCTAAATACTACATAGCACAAATATATTCTTACCCAGCTCGGCGTTACGAAGGTACGGGGCGAGGTACTTGAAGAGATCAATGAGTAGCTGGGCGTAAATACCCCAGCAGCGTTGTTGCGGAGTTATCACGAGCATACGTCCAATAAAGACGCGATGGGAGACAAGCTCCAACCAAGCATAGCAGAACCCGGGTGCCTTGGCCGGTCTCAGTATGTGCAGAGTATGGCAGAATGCAGTGAGAACCTGGAAGTTGAGTGCCTCCAGCACGGGCTCTGGTGCGCACAGCTCAAGAAACAGCATTATAAAGATACGATGGTAGGGTAGTTGCTGAAAATCGGGGCCACGCATCTCGTGGTCTTGCAACAGAACACCGGCGACGATGCCCAGCACCTTGTTCAGCAAATTGATCTTCGTGTGCGTGTTGCTCTGGTCTCCCGAGTGTTTAACTAGCAAAGCTACCAGTCGCACGAAGGCATCGAGCGTGTGGAAGCACTTGGCTCTTGTTACTCCCATGTTGGTATTGACGTTTGGATTGGCATCGACGAGAGCACGGTAACAATGGTCAACACACATTTGCGTGCTCAGTTTGAAAAAGCGCGTTATTAGCTCGTCCGTTTTCAAGATACCCTGGATGTTCATTTGGTGGACAAAGTGGCTGAAAGCTTTGGTCGGGTCTCGCGAGTTTTGTGGATTGTGGTACATGGATACCCATTCGCGGAGGAGAAACTCGGTCTTTTCGAGTAAACCAGGCGGATCTTCGTAATTGTCCCTCGCCCTGACTTGCAGGATTCCAGAATGAATGTGAGCAGTTGGACCTGCGGGTGGTCTGTCGGTGAGCACTGGAGGATCGTGATTTACTCTTAATGATTCAATCAGCGAAGTCAGTCTGAAGAGTGATATTCCTTCCGGCGGAGTTCTATGCATTGCCATTCTCGCAAGAATTTCAATGGTACCATAGAGATCGGATTCGGTTACGTGAATCGTTTGTCTCTCGTCGATTAGATACACTTGGACCAATTGTATCGCAAAAGCCACAGCCATAACGCTGCCAACTTCCATTGCCTGAGCCAACGCCGTGTCGTACTGTTGTAGGTTCAATAGGTGAGATCTGCAAGGGAATCAATCACAATGTTATTTTGGATAAACGGAGCAAAAATACCATTAATTTCGTAGTATCGATAAATACCTGATAAGACAGTCGACAACGTCGAAATTGTACTTGTACTCGTCTCTGTACTCGACGACGAATCTCGTGATGTTTTTGTTCGTCCACTGCATGCCGTAAGCCCTCGGGTCTTGCAGACACTTGAGTATCCTCAGATGAAGTTCCTTGTATCGAAGCACAATCTCGGAGTCGATGCTACTGCTATCCAGAGTAAGAGTTGCCACGTTCAACAAGCCTTCGACAGCCTTCTTGAGCAGTCCCATGGCGACGTTGACATCGCGCGAGCGGCGTGTCATGATCAGTGATTCAAGAACGCTGTGGAGTGCCGCCTGGTGTTGCGGCGTGATGGTCGGGGCAGCTGTGGTTAGCAGTATTTCTACTTCGCTACCGAGCTTCTCGAGCATAGAGCCGACTTCGTCGTTGCTGACCGCCGTAGTGTAAGCCACCTGCTGAGCCGTGGCAATGCTCATCGGGGCGGGTGCGTTCACGGCAAATGGCTGTATCGCGGGCTGCTCCACGATGTTTTTGGGCGTGAACAGGGCTTGGACCTCGCGCTCCGACAGTGGCAAAAAGCCTGGTATGTTGCGTGCGAATTCCTCGTATACGGCCATCTGCTGTGGAGTGACACCGCCGACCTTGAGCCTGATCTGCTCGGGCATTCGCTCGGCTTGGTACTTCGCTACTGCGTCTATGTAGCGACGGCCTTCCTGGCGAGCGATCTTGCGTACCTCGTACTCGTTGTGCAATCGCTTTTCCATCTCCGGTATGGCCTTTTCGATCGCAGTTTTTTGGATGAAGGCGCAAGCCAGTTCCATGTTCTCAGCAGCAACGATGTTTGCCGTCTGCTCGGCCACTTCCTTCTGTTGCGGCATAACGGACATGACGAAAGCATTTTTGAGGTTCGAGCTGATAGATTGAAGTATCTGGTCACGGGAGGTGATCATGGCCATACCGGCCGTCAGGTTGCGAACCATGTGCCTCGCGGCTGATCGCATTTTGTTTTCGTCGTGGTCCAGGGCAAAGTCCTTCTTAACGGTCTGCTCGGTAGTGGTGATAGCAATCTTGATCGAGCGATCGACGACGGGATGAATCCACTCTTGGATTGCCCGTTCGACCGCCTGGCGTACGAATTGTTTCAGCTGAGGCTGAGCCACGAATAACGGCAAGGTACTATTGATGGTGATGTGTTGAGCGATACTGTTGATGTTCGTTACTTGAATGTCCATGTAACTGAAACGTGGTTCTGGTGGTCCAGTGGGTAATGATGGAGTCGTATTGGCAATTGGCGCAACTTGCTGTTGTTGCTGCTGCTGCTGCTGCTGCTGTTGCTGCTGCTGTTGTTGTTGTTGTTGTTGTTGCTGCTGTTGTTGTTGTTGCTGCTGTTGTTGTTGTTGTTGCTGTTGTTGCTGTTGCTGCTGCTGCTGCTGTTGCACTTGAGGTATACTAGGAGTCGGACCAATGAGATCCTCCACCTGTCCCTGTTGCGGTTGTTGCGTTTGTTGCTGACTTGTAGAATTATTGGAAACTTCGTTGGCTTTCTTGATCGGTTGAGATAATTGGTACTCGATGTTGGCCAATTTTTCCGGATCTTTCAGATATATTGCCGGCTTGAGATCTGCCACATCGATACTAAGATTTTTGCAGAGCACTTCGATTTCAAATTTAAGATTGAGCTTGAGATCGGGTTCTTGATGAAGTTCAGCCAGCACGTTCATGATGGCCATTGTCCAAGGATTCGGAGGTCGAAAAACGCGACTTTTGGCACAGCTTTCTAAAACTTTGGCTACGAACGGAACTACGTAGAGTAACTCCTGTTGACCCTTGCAGTAAGCCTCAACGAGCAGTGATTTTAGATCGATGTCGAGCTGAAGAATTGGCTTGTTTCGACCCAACGTGAGCATACCCAACCAATGACCAAGATTCTTTAACAGAGACCGGTCAGAGAAATTGGCTATACCCTTATCACTGCGCAGGAGTACTCGGATGTTTCTGTTAAAGAGTATGAATTTAATTGATGAAAAAAAAAGACAAAAACACTAGTAATGTAAGGCAAACTAAAGAAATCATGAAGAACTCACCTGAATGTTTCTCTTGTGACCATTTTGTTGACGTCGGAAACTTTCAAGCAGTCCAAAAAATTTGAATAGAGAGCATGGAAGTTCAATTCTATACTGGCACGCTTCATGACCAAGTATTGTGCCATCCAGGGCCAGTAATCCTCCGAAACCAGGTCCTTGATCTCGTCGCACTTTTGTTGCAGATTCAGCTGGCTTAAATTGTTAAAGATAAATGCTGTTTTGTCCTGCATAGTTTCAGGAGGTGATGTAATCTTTTCCTCCTTATCCGTGGCAACCAGCAAAGTATCGATATTCGTGGCGTTGGCGATCGATGGTCGAGCCGTAGCTATGGAGCTCGTTGGCGTGGTCGATGGCTTGGACTGGGTCGTCGTCGTGGTGATCGTCGTGGTCGTGACAGTCTTATAAAGCGTCGTAACAGGCGCAAGCATGGCGTTCAGAGATTTTGGTATCACCGGACCCTGTGGCCGTGAAGGAGGCTCTTGGCCGTTCAGACCGTATTCGACGTACTCCATCAGGTGAGGTGGGAACTCGCTAAAGTGCGGTATACTACGGACGTGCTCGCAATACGTCATATAATCCTTGAGTCGGGTCTTGAAGCGATCAAGGGCAGCAATGCCAAAGTAGTACATTTTATTGCCTTCCGGCTTGCGTAGTGCTTCTAGAACGAATCTCAAAGCCAGTCCCAAAGTTATGTAACTATTGACGAGGCCACGTTCGATTATACCGCCGAACAGTTGAGCGGTGATGTGCAGCTCTTTATCAGGGTACTGGGGAAAAAAGCGATACTCTTCGAAGAGATTACGCAACATGCAGCCATAAACGTCGCGCTCGCGCCTGTTTGTTGAATCCTGGAATTTCTTTAGCATATCGAGCACTTCGTCGATCGACAGAGTCGGATGGGGCGGATGATTGTATATACGTTGGAAATAGCTGTTAGCTTCGTCTTCGATTTCTTTAGTGAGCGTTCCAGTTGCTTCAGGAAATAGATTGGCGGTTTCTTGCATGCGCGACTTCTCGATAGCCGTTGGCGGGGCTAGTCGGTTCAAGCCACCGATAGCGTTAACGTGGCCTGGAATCACAGCCGAGGAACCTTGAGTACCCACCGGGCCCGAGTGCAACTGCGATGGCAATGGCATCACTGGGAACGGCGTCGAGGTCGATCCTATCAGGCGTGACGGTGAGCCTGGAGTGGATACCAGTGGACCTAACGTTGCTGGAAGGTTGAAGGCAGAATTGCTAGGCGGACCAAGGTTCGAGTTTAGGCTTATCGACGCTAGGCTGGAGTTTAGATTTGACAGAGAGTCGACTTGCTTGGTTGGGAAAAGCTGTAAGAAATAGAAATTGGCTTATTTTATATTATTGGATTCGTTAGTATTTTGTTTACTTTTAAAAAAAATTTTGTTATTTACCTGTCCACCCAACGGACTGAAAGTGTCGATGGCTCTGTGTCTCATGACAGGTGGTGGTAGCCTACCAATAGCTCCCTGTTTGCTTAGCATTAGACTGCAATTTTGTACCATGGATAATATTGCGTCAGCACATTCTTGAGTTACGCTCCTACAAAAAAGGGTACGGGTTTACTTGATAGTTAAATAGATATTTTTATGAAAAAAATTAATAAATGCTTTGTTTAAAAGAAGATAACTCACCCAATACAAGTTTGCAGACAGTGTAATATCGTTGTCAGTGTTTCTGTTGGCAATTGGGTAGCTTTGGGAACACTAACGTCATCCTTGATAGCTCCACCCAAGACTTGAGGGCATCGCCGTTGCAAAAATTTTATACACGCAGCAACAAAAGCTTCACCATGATCACGTATTTTGTCGGTTAGCCATTTCTCCAATTTTAAGTACTCACGACGTGAGGCTAAACAAGCGAGATCAATGACAAAGGCGAAAGATTGAGCGTTCAAAAGGTTCGATAAAGCCTTAAGATCTTGGGCAACGTCAAGAATGCGGGAGAGACGGGTCTGATCATGATCACCACGGAGATACCATTCGGCCATAGAGTGCATTATTATGTTTCTCAGTTTGGTGTTGTTGTTGTGCCAAGAATAGTGCAGTATTACTGCACTGTTGGGATGGTTGCCCAGAAATATTGGCATTAGGGCTGATAACAATTCTTGTCTAAACGAAGAAAAAAAAAAAATAATAATAATAAAATAAGATGAAAATTTTCAAAGTAACAACTAGTATTTTTATAAATTGGTCATGTATTAATTTTAAACAAACCAACCTGAATCCTGCAATAGGGGCATTACTCTGTAGTAAAGCAAGCACAAGTACATCCGGGCAGTGTTGCATGGGCCACTTGAAGATTTCCTGTACATGATTAACAAGCCCGCGATCAGCCAGATAAATAAAAAGATCAACAACGTTGACCGAGCGCCAGGTTTGGGCTTCTTTGCTATCGATGTCGGGTGCTGCTTTGAGCATATCAATTGAGACAGAATGGTAAGCGTGATCTGAGAAGCAAAATACATCTGGACACTTGAGTATTTGATGGACGAGGGAAAACTGGCCTTTCACGTTCTCCCAATGACGGTAGAACAATTCAATAGGAAACTCGGGCATGTAACTTTGAGCTTGTAGTCCAAGGCGCAAGCCTGCGATGAGTAGAGCGAGGCCTTGTCGGTCTTTGATTACAAACTCTGGGTGGTCCAGTTTGGCGATTACTTCTGGCCACAAGATCGATGAGTTCTGTGCGGAAACGAAAAATAATTACAGATTTAATTTAAAAGCGTGTACAATTGTATTATTACGAAAAAAGTGTTTAAGATTTTTGAAAAACTTTGAAATCACATTGTTGTTTAAAAAGGTTGTTATGAGCATGGCAGGTGTAAGCATTTTATGAAAATAGCGTCTCAAGGTTAAGCATAAAGTAAACAAACGAGACGTACAGGAAAAAAAAATCAAGTCATAATATTAGTACATTGGTTCAATATTTTTAAATACGATTGTAAAAATTTCCGAAAAACTGTTAATGGTGTTGTGCTATTCGATTGCTTTTATTTCTCTTTAAAAAATAATAATACAAATCCACTTACAACTTCCGTAACAGCTTTTACAAAGACTTCAACGTTCCAACTGGTAGCCCCATCTGGTGCCTTATCCTTGCTATCCTGACCACTCGTCGAGTTCTCCCAGAAGGAGTGCAGTCCCAGCGCATTCTCCTCGATGCCACTCGAGGTGCGGGCCATGTAGGCCAATATCCTGGCAACGCATCGAGCTGTCAGATCCCGGCCACCGAAATTCGTCAGGCTCTTCCGGCATTCTTCTACGCTACTAGTGAAGCCGTAGCCAAGTTCCATTATCAGTTCTGCGTAATTGGTATTGTCCTAAAACCCGAGAAAAACATGATACAGTAACACTTGATCCTGCTACTCAAGAAATTTAATTTATCAAAAAATTGTCGGACGAGCGTACCAATTGATTGGCAGCCATGTTAAATTGCACGGGCTGCTGAGTATCCTCCTCGCTGCCCGGGTAGAGCAGCGGAGCGAGAACGATTGGCACCACCTCGCGAGGAAAATCGCGTCTCAGGTACTTGAGAAATTTTCCCTTGGTCTCGGCGTTCAAGCTGATCTTACTGCCCTCCTCGAATATGCAGGTAAGCAATTGGTGCAGAACCTCGGGCGTAGCGTCGTGCAGGCCTTCCTCGTTGGCACCAGCGTTCTTGGTGTCGTTTGCGTCGACGTAATTCTTGACGAGCTCGGGCAGCTGTTTCTGGATGTGCTCGAGCGCTCGCGCCGCTACGTCCGAGTATTGCGAGTGCTGGAGCGATAGAGCTATCAAAACGTCCTGGACTAGCGTCAGCCCGAGCACTCGGCGGATGTTTTGAAAAAATTTCGGGGGCGGGAAGACCCTCTGCAGAAAAAGTAAAGTGTTACTTGTGTTTTTTTTTTTCTTTCTTTTTTTGCAATGACGCAGATAAATTCTCGTTCACGATACTCACATTTTTACGATTGAAGGGATAATCGATGGCAAAGCAAATGTTTGAAATGAATGATGGCTTGCTTGATAGCTTGAAGCACTCCTGTTTCAACAGCTGCACTCGACAGTAATCCGGTGAATTCTGGTCTTGTGCTTCTCCGGTTGAGAAGTCGATTTGTGAAAACAAGCAGCGCAACAAGTGACGGTCTGCTTCCACGCCACCCAATCTTACCAGCTGAAATTTTTTTTTTTTTTTCTGAGCAATGTAGATTGTTGATGATATAATAATTTAGCCAGGTGAAATGACTTAGTGGGAAATGAATTTCTTATTGCGTCACGTAAATATCAGGCATTTGTTAATTTTACAAGCATTTTAATTCAATTATTACAACCAAAAGTTTAGTTTTTTAAATTAAGACGTGTAGAATAATTGATACGCAATTAAATTTTTTTATCGTTTCAATTTTTTTGATATTCACCCATTCATCACAAAACATAGTTATATTTTATGGTCTTTCAACGTTTTGTAATATAAGAATAGTCATCCCTATCTAAATGTAAACAGCTCAAAAACTGATTTAATTTGTAAATAAGCTCTGAACAACTTTACTCACTGGAAGAACCATCGTATGTATTAAATTTAAATTTAACAGTTTCTTAATGTTTATTCATGTGGAGTAAACAAAGTTTCTTTCAAAAGGGAAAACAAGATTCTTGGAATTTGTTATCTACATTTTTATACTTGTGCATATGTGCAACCAGGAAACACATTAGGATCGGTACTTCCTTTAATTTTTGACAAAGTAAAAGGAAAGGGCAAGAAGGAGAATAGGGCCACGCCGAGTCCACAAACCATTGGGTCGGTTTAAAGGATGGAGAGGGTGTAAAAAAAAATCATGCCATCTTAACTCTTAACCAGACACCTACACCATCAACTGTGTACACGCATACACGTATCCAAACAGATGAGAGTCTCAATACATATATTCTGGATCTCTCTCCCTCTCTCTCGATTCCGAAAACACAAAGGCAAACGTGTAAGCTGTGTTGCTGCTGCGTTGCGAACGAGAGAGCAAAAATTTGATAAAGGAAAGAAGGAAAGGGCTCTAACTGCTGCGCAAAAGAGCAGATGATCACGTTAATGCTGTGTGCTTATGCGATGATTAAATAAATAAAAAAAATAAAAAAATTGCACCAATACAGACATACGTAAGAAGTATATAGGTGGTTGGTACTTACGTCCGTTATCTCCTCGCAGCTGTCCCGAAAATTCTTCCTATTCAGGCTCGCAACCAAGAATGAGATTTGCGACAAAGTAAAAGACAACGAGTCCAGGTTCATAGTTCCATGAATCCGGCCTCGAAAGCTTCAAACAGGTTTGAAGCTTTCTTCGCTGAGCACGAATTGTCCTCCACCACTTTTTTGATGGGTTGCCGACTGACTTTTCGTCGTCGTTCTCCTCCAACACTTTCACTGTTTCACTGCTTTCACTCTTCCCCCGGTAAGAACAACGAGTTTCCTCCTCAACGTCGAGGAAGTCGTTGTTGCTACCTCTTCCTCCTCCTCCTCCGCCGCTCTCTTCGGCGCTACGAGGACGTAGTTTAACCCAGCTCCGATGTGCGTGTCGTAACTTGATGCTATTGTTATTCAGAATCGTCGACGTCGACTCAGCGCCGTCCTTTGAGGATAAAAATGATGAGAGTAGCAACAAAATTTGTTGCTGCCGCTTCCAAAAGCAGCAGCAAGTGCCCCGATTCTTCGTTTGGTGCTGCTCGTATGATCGTCGTCCGCATTCACGAGCTAGTCCTGCGACCAACATCGGGGACGTAGAATCACGGACGATCGTTGGGCCCCCTCTTGCAGCGGTGCGGGAGGAGTAGGGAACTGGCGAAGAAAACGAAGACGACCACGATGATACGCGATTTTTCTTTCTCGATTGATGGACGACGCTCTACTTAGCTCGTCGAGGAGGTCGTCATGCTTCTCTCCAGGACTATGGGTGTGCAAAACCCAATCTCTGACCCAATACGTTAGTTACTGACGTTACGCAGTGAACACTGCACACTACACAGTTGCACACAAACTAAAACCAACCTCTCGGCGAGTAGGTACCAAGGTACCAAGTACCAACTACCAAAGTAGAGAGAGGAACGAAGAGAAAAAAAAAGACAAGAACCCCCTCCCACAAAAAGAGACACAGGCGCTCTCTATGCGTCCTTCTTATAAAAATATACACGAGCACGCACTCTTCGACTGGAACAAGGCTTCCTTGCGTAAGTATACTTCAGAGTGTATTTTTTTTTCTTTCAACACTTTTTTAGCTCCGAGAGAGGCTAGGTATGTATTTTCTTCGAAAAACATTTTGGAGGTCCAGGTCCTGCCGGTAGGTTAGGGCCAGACGAGCGAGACGAAAGTGTGCGCGCATGTGCACGCAAGCGTATTGCAAATCATGCTCATGCTGTGTCAAGTGTGTGCACGCTTCTCCTGGAATTTTGTAAGTAAACCGACTGGACAATGGTGATTATTATTATTTATGATGATTAATTTTGAGTTCTGACTCTCCTCCTCTTCTTATTAAAACGATGCCACTAGCACTAGGTGTGGGTGTCTTCACGTACCTATCAGACTAATCTAATGTAAAATGAAATCGAAGAAAATCTATTGTAGTTCCTGAGTAACAGTATATTTATACTACTGTATTTAATTGACATTGGACTGTATAGTGTCCGTATGATTTTTATTGCGACTATTGCGACCAGAGATTAGTAGGATTGCGACTGTTGCAAGCAGGTTACTCGCATTCACGGAAACGATGCTTATATCCAGTCCAGGCACTGCAATGTTGCATACTCCATTTTCCTTTTCCCAGTTGGATATGCTTAGTCAGTAAAGAAGGATCCGTGCATTGTCATGTCGGCATAGCAGGGATTCAATTTAGTGAATATCGATGTCAAATGATCCCTGTCATACCGATGACAACAATGAGTAAGCACCATTCCTACTATATCGATGTCGATGCTAGTGTAGTACCTACTGATAGGTACATACAATTGTTTAATTAAATTTAATTAAAAAAGATTTCTTAAGAAACGAACGTCATCTAGCGAGGCTGATTCCGAACTATCGAACTTAAAAAATACTCTATATTTCTTTTGAAGAAATTCACTAGGGAAAACTTAAGTTCTTCTATATTTTTGGGAGACTCTAATTCGTATGACTGTGCTTCTTTTTTAAGCCTTTTTTCTTCAGTTGTCTCTTTTATACAGATTAATTTACTTATATATTTGATCGTTATTCAAGATTTCTGTAACACAAATTTTCCTGTGTACAAATTATACAAGTTAACTGTTTACAGGGCTGTGCTTCCATGAGTTAATGACAAAAGGTCTAATGTATTGTAATTTTGTAAATATGGTCGATTTTATGAGCCGTATAAGATAAGTAGAATATTTATATATTTGGAGGTCAATTTTCAAATAAAAATAATTGTAAACTTGCCGCAAGCAGCACAGAATTCGTCAACTTTTTATTGTCTATCTATAAGATCAGTTGCGGCTAGTTTATAGTTAAAAAAGTGTCTCTACTGTAAGTATATAGTAATAGTTGTTTGGATCAGCGCCATCTAGCGGTTTTCATTTTTTCGCCAAAAGTGGCCTCTAAAATTCTGAAACTGAGCATAAGGGCTTATAGCCATCTAGTCAATTATAAACCAGCCGCAACTCATTTGGTAGGTATAAAATAAAAAAATAATGATACGTGTGTTTTTGGCGGCAAGTTACCAATCTATGTTTTACTCGAAAATTTATCTTTAAAAGTATAAATGAATAAAAGGTCAATTTTTGGTAAAAAATAGATTGTTAACTTGCCGCCAAAAACACGTGTATCGTTATTTTTTTATTTTATAGCTAAAAAATGAGTTGCGGCTGGTTTATAATTGATTAAATGGCTCTAAGCCCTTATGCTCGGTTTCAGAATTTTAGAGGCCACTTTTGGCGAAAAAATGAAAACCGCTAGATGGCGCTGATCCAAATTGTTATTACAATTTACAGTAGAGCCATGTCATTGATTATAAACTAGCCGCAACTAATCTTACAGTCATAAAATATAAAGTTGACATTGTCTGTGCTGCTTGCGGCAAGTTTACAATTTATGTTTTCTCAAAAATTGACCTCCAAAAGTATACACATTTTACTTATATGGTTTAATAAATTTACCAGAATGATAACATCAGAAAATCAGGAAAATCAGAAAATCTATATGCCCTTCCACTAGTGCTGTCTGGCGGAGAATTTTCTGAGAGTAAGCTATATATAAATATAATTGGTTATTGGATAGTAAAAGACAGAAATATCAGGCGCCACAGAAATCGGAATCATGCCGAAATATCTTATGTTTAATGGTATTGATTATAGACTATCACGGAAATGGATAGATTTTTTCAGACCTTACAACGGACTATAGGTACTGTTAATGTTAGATCAGAGGAAAAAGAAAGAATTTACTTATATATGTATATATTTTTTTTAAACAACACCTCTCTATCCCTACTGTACACTGATCATTACTTAAATAAGAGAGAGAGAGAGAGAGAGATATATATGAGAGAAGATCGTGAATTTCGTGATCGCAAATTGTGACATTTGTGACTCCGAAGCTCCGTACCTACTTAGTCCGTCTAGATAGGTACCTACTTAAGTACTGTCCAAACTTTCTGAGCGAAACAAAATAGTCGGTCGAGGGTCGGGTCTGCAGGAGTAAAAGGAGCCGCCGCTGTCGAGAGCGAATCATGCATATCATACGTATTTATATGTGCGCACGGGACGGGTGTCCAAGAATAGCCACTATGCCCACTATGCCCAGCAAAGAGAAAGAGTGTGTGGCAAACGAATAGTCGCCGCGACTCTCGAGAGAGAGGAGCAGAAAAGAAAAGTGTGTGTCTATCTGTCGGTGCTGCTGGTGCTTGGTGCATCTGCACGCAAAATTATCAGCACCTTCTCACTCAGCTGACCTCGGGTCCTCGGTCAACCTCACCGAAAGAGTTGTCGGGTCGGTCCGGAGAGTGCGTAAAGCTAACCCGGAGCTATTACGTCTACGTAACCTATAGGCCTGTGGTGTGTGTGTGTGTGTGTGTGTGTGTGTGTGTGTGTGTGTACGTGGATACGTTTTTGTATCATCCGCGACGAAGAGAGGGGCAAAGAGTGATTAGAGAGAGCCCACACAGCTGCAGAAGCAGTGGAGAAAGAACGTCTTCGAGAATCTATATAGTGTTCGATAAACTTGAGACGCGGGTGTGTCAATCGTACAATTATCGGATTGTCGCTCTGCTTTTGGAGCAGAAGGAAAACAGTAGGCCCATATACGTGGTGTGTTTTTAAAAATGTATACACATAATAAATACATTCTGCTCCTCCTCCTCCTCTGAGTATATTTAAGTATTATACAGTGGAAGAAAGAGTAAGAGAGATATAGGGCTTGGTGTGTGCGACGTCGCCGTCGTCTTGAAGAAGAGGATCAGCAAAGTATCTAGTTTTCTGTCCTTCAACAAATATCGGAGCGTCCAGCGAATCAGTAATCAGTACCCTATACATACTTATGGGGTCAGGCAGCGGTGCCGAGGTGGCTCAGCAGCTAAGGAAGAAGCAGCAGCAGGCAGCGGCGGCGGCCCACCGTCAGCAGCAGCCTACTCCTCGTTACCGCTAAGGTTTGTGCTGTTTTGCCAAGTGGGGTATTATTATATTGATATTTCCCTGGTTGAGTCTCGCTTTCTTCATGTATGAATTTCTTTGAGTTTGATCAAAAGAGATGAGTTCTGTACTGAGTGTAAGGATTGGTCTGCTGATTCATACCCCAACAGCAGGCACAAGTGTGTACGGAAATGTAGATGTGTTGTACTCCTATCAGTGTAGCTTGATTCTTCTTCATGAGAGAGTTGTCCGAGTTGCTAGAAGTGTGTAAAGTTGGTTAAGATTAGCTACAGAAATTACGGGGGACTCTGTTTTCTGGGTATCGTGAAAATTTGGCACTTCCTTTTAAAGTATGTAATAAATTGTGGCAAATATTAACAAAAGTTTGCATTAAAAAAGTGCTTACACATATCAGTCAACAGGTGCATTTAAAATTTATTGTTTGTTTTACAGTTGGAACAAAAATAACAACAACTATAACAATAACAATGAGAATAGTGATAATATTAGTAGTGGTGTTGTAGTGTATTAGTCATAAGATTAAGGCTGAACTGTGTGTCTGTGTGTGTCTCTGTTGTAATTTGTTACTTGAAATGATCTTTAAATCCACCAAGTAATCATAAGTAATTGTTAAATTAATTATTCCAATTAATTTCTTTGATGAGGCTCATTAATTCATGTAGTTAATCAGGGGACCACAATAGTTTGGAATCATCAAAGAATGCCGGTTTACGGAGAGTCTTTAGCCACAGAATCAATCAAAAATGATTTACAATCATTTTGTGTGTCAGTCCTATTTTTACGTTTTAACCATTGTCTTTAAATATCCCTTGAAACTTGCAAGCTACACGTCTAGTTTTTGTACAATTATGAGCCAGCACTTGAAAACTATAAAAAACCTGTGATTTTCACACATTGGCTTAAAGCCAGGATCGCTTAATTCCCAATATACCACTGTGCGTTAATGAATCGGTAACTCTAATTCATCAAGAAGTCAAATCAAATTTGCTCAATGATTTTTAAACTATTGCATTACTTTCTATACCTATATTATTAAGTTTAAATAATCCATAAATATGTTAATAACGTATGGCATTAAGTTATTCCTAATAGAGTTGAAAAGAAAGTAAAAATTATTATTTATTGTGTGTTTGATGATTTTATGTTTACACAGGTGCAAATTATCAGAGCATAATATTGACAGCTAACTAACCATAATTTTTCTTGATGCACTAAACTCTGAATTCAAATATCAATTTTTTTTTTTTTTTATCGAATAAGTCCTGCAACTTTATATTTAAAAACAGTATTTTTATCATCATTTATTTTGTAAATGACATATACAGCTTTACAAAAACACAACTAATATTTACATCGAATCGTTGATAGTAGTAATCGTAATGAAGTTGTTCTTGTTCGTTATTATGTGTAAAAATAATCCGTCCGTCATTTATAGCTGTAAGGCAAATAGTACGCATAAATTTTTTTCTCCAAAAAAAAATAATGTGTCATTTTTTAATTAAAATTACTTTTATGTAGGTTCGAGTGCCACTGAGGAGATCATACACAAGGTGGTTTCCCAAGATATCGCCGTAAGCAGATTATTGAAGTGAAAATCAACAAAGTGCAATGTCCCTGGAAAACAGATCAAGCTCGGCCCTGTTCAAAAGGGCTGAGCAGCTGAAAAGGTGGGAGCAGTCAGAAACCAACAAGGAGCCACCGGATCCACAAAAGATCTCGAGGAAGATAAAGTTTTCGGCGGATTGCGTTTTTCTGGCCGCCTGCTCTGCCGGGGATAAGGACGAGGTTGTCAGGCTACTGCAAAAAGGGGCAGACATCAATACCGGAAACGTCGATGGTCTCACGGCATTGCACCAGGTGAGGGGAAAAAAAAACAAAGAGAGCAGTTCAAGCCTCTTTTTCATTTATAAATTTTCAACGGCAAGAAAGAGAGAGGATACATTATACAGCTGCGAAACGTCGGAATTTCTATTTTTAATCGCTACTTATTTTTAAACAATTCACACTTGATAATGTTAGTATACACTAAGGTGGGGTGCTTAAGTGGGGTGAGGGTGGGGGGGGCTTTTTTGCAACTCTTGGAAATGGAAAATGTATTTTTACACGCATCACGCGAGGAAAGCGTCAATCTTCCAATCGCACCGCTTGACGCTTCGAAAATTAGTTTTACAACAGCCCCAACTGGTGCCACTTACAATCATTATTCCCAAAGACAAAAAATAACACAATACATTGATGATTTTGCAAACAAATGAAAAACAATCCATCCGCACTGGGTGTAATAATACACACATGTGTTTGGAGGCGGTTTGGACGTATTCACGAGTTTCTAAAATACGCGTCTCTATACTGTTGCCGCCACGCTCGAAATTATAAATGTAGCTTAGCTAGGCTAGCAGGCAGAAAGCGTCTTCATATAATTAGCAAAAGCTCATCAAGCAGAGCAGAGAGAAGAAGAGCGCTATAGAGATGCAGCGGGGCAAAATATATAATCTTCATCTAAAATCAGATTGAAAGCCCGAGATTTTTCATTTTGCCGGTGGTGTGTGTAGGTGCAACAAGCACGCGCGCAGGGTTACATAAAACCCGCGAGTATAGAGGAGAAGTTGGGTACAAAACCGAGCGAAACTGAACCAAGGCCACGTGCTAGAGAATACAACGTCGACGTGCACACACGTACGGAGTGTACATAAGTTTTGTTTGTTGCTAGCAAAGCGTATTTCGGCCGCGCGTTTACGTAAAGCGTGAAAATAGTCCTGTTCGAAAAGAAAAAGAAAAAAAATTGCAGCTACCAAAGTCATTTTTAATACGCGCGATACGTAGGTATCATGAGCGAGCTTGCGCTGACGTAGGAGCCATCGCGTTAAATTGTACGCGCGTTACTGGTGGGCACAATTCGAAGCGATGATAAGGATCGCCAATGTTATCGGTGAATTGAAAAAAAAAAAAAAAAAAAAAAAAAAATTGTATATAAAAGAAAAATGTCACGCTATGCGTTCCAATATTTCATTGGTACTTTGATAATCGCGAAATTTCAACACGTTGTTAATTATTTTCTAGACGACGCGCTTCTCATTATTAACTGCGAGATAGCAAAAACTATCGATCGGGAAACTCGTGTCAATTATAAGCCACTAAATCACCGAAAGTGAAATAATAGAGAAAAAAAACCAAGATTCGTGTCTCTTGGCATTTTGTTTTCACACTCGATCATCGTGCTTCCTCCGTATGCGTATATAAATGCGGGTACACATCTCTGAGCCGAAAAGCTCTCCGACGCTCGCCTAGTTTGCGCGTAAAAGGCAGGAGAGCTGGCTAGCCTCGTTTCCGCGCGAGATAAATAAGCTTTTGAACATATACATACGTTGCCCAAGAGATTTTCGGGGGTAAACTCTACACGGCATATAGACGCGAGTTTTAAAGGGGATAAGATCAAAGTTGCCCGGAGATCTTATATGGAGGACTATTTTTTCCGTTTCCAAATACTATAGATATCTGGTCGTTAATTATCTATTATAACGAGGTGATATCAAATTTTTCCAATTCGCGTGATAAGCAGTATTTAAATTCAATTAAGCCCCCGAGGATATTATCACGATTGTCCTACTGATTGTCTACCCATTAGTTGATGTTGAAAACGCGGAAGTTGAGCAAAGAACAAAAAAAAAAAAAAAAAAAAAGTTTAGCGTGTATACGATCACCCGATGCGCGTGTATTTTCACGTGAAATGTGAATGCGCGTGTTTATGAATGTTGAGAGCGTGCGTGGGTTATTATTACACCCATCGGGTAATTTTGCAAGTGTACCTATATTTGAAAAATGCGCCAGTGTTTTTGGAATTTCGAGCTAGTTTTTTTTTTTTTTTTTTTTTTTTTTTTTCAAAATCACTCGAAGTTCTATTTATAATATTCAAGTATACGCTGCAGTCGAGTGAAACGTGAATCGATTTTTTTTTTTTTAAATTGATTTTTCGCGTCAAAATCCATCAGGAGCGAGGTCGTAGTGTTTTTCGAACAACAAGGGAAAGATCGTGTGATTTTGATGAATCCAGAATCCGGAAATAAAACGTTTCGGGGTAAAACTCTCGTTCTGTTGAGTTGTTATTCTTTTTTTTATTTTTTTTTATTTTACGTCTTTGAAGCCGAATTTCATTCAAAAATACTTATCTGGAAACGAGCGTAAAAATGTACAAACAAATAACGTGGATGAACAAAAAAAAAAAAAAATTGGCAATAATAATCCCATTATGACACATCTTGTTGTACATTGCGTCATTTGGTTTCAAGATTTTACTAGAGAATTACGTTGTAATGATAAAAGTGTCGAGGTCAATTTTTTCCGTAAAAATTGTCACCCGAGAAGAATAAAAGGGTCGAGGCACTTTGCAACACACACTGCTCACGTTCGGGCAAATATTATTAGAGTCGCGATTGCAAAACGCAGAGTGAAAATCTCACGTCTTGACGCTAGACCATCAACCTAATTTCCAAAAAAAAAAAAAAAAAAAAAAAAACACCTTTCATCAAACCATACGTGTATAAGTTAAAGAGAAAAGAAAAAAAAAATTGAGCGAAGGGAACAGGAGTAAGGAACAAGAGGTTTGCGGAACCCGCGAAAATAGACGTTGAAAATACACATCAGGCATCGGCTTTGCTATTTATAGCCTATATACATACACATGGTCGTCCTCCTCGCACTCTCTCCTCCTGCAAACCAATATTTTTTACTCTCGCATGTACTTAAGTACTTATTACAACACGCATTTAAACGCAAAGTTCAGGGTTCACGATATATATATATATTTTCTTTCTCCCCGGGCGCATTTCGACGAGCTTCCTTATCGCACTTTTTTTCCAAATTTGGTGATGGTGATAATTTACGGTCGGCTCGACGCACATAGCGTATTGTATATGTATACTCTTATCTCTTCCCATGCAGGCGATGTTGCGCAACAGCCACGTCGCAGCACGTGCTCTCTGTTTATTTCACCGGGGGAGGACCTTTTTTTTTCTCCTTCTTGCTCAAAATCGATGGCCCAAAGCTCGCGGGCGTGGTGATGTAACGCGTGAATGAAAAAAAAAAAATTTGGGGACTCTGGTGCGAGTGATTGAAACAAATCAACGTTGTTGTTGTTTTATTTTTTTATTTTGACGGTTAAGATTTTTTGGCAAGCTACAACGGGCACATGTTTTCTTTGGGTGGCTAAATATTTATAGTTTGTCGCTCCCGAGCAAGCCGTACACTGATGGTGTACTTGGTGTAGAGTTTGGATCGGGTGGTAGAGGATAAAATAATATACTTAAGTTGGAAGGGAGAAGAAAAAAAAAAAACGTGAGAAAATCAGGGTGAGTAGTAAATCAGGGTCGATAGAGAGATGGTTTAGCTTTGAATGATAATAAAAAATTCATCTCTCCAACCCTACCACTGCAGTTGTCAATTGTGTCGCATTTCAACGCGTTCCTTCCTCTCGAAATGAAAAACAATGCGTTCTTTTATGCTTTTAACGAAGCGCGGTTCAATGCACTTTTTCAACCTATGTACTTTTATAATTACTTATCGAAATCAACGTGCACCCGTATACCATATATTTGGTGCATTCAATCTCGTACAGCTGGAGCTTTATGATTCAGAGAATCTACGGGGACAGTGTGTGAAAATATATACCTGCGCGTACCGATACTGCACGCAAAAAAAAACAAAAAAAAAAAAAAACAATGAGATTCTCACGAAATGCGGCAAATTTTTAAAATGAGAGTAAAAAACACACGTTCCAACGTAGGCGTACGTACAGGCATTTATCAAACTAAACCGGTAACTGCTACAGAGGCCAGGTCTCGAAGAGCAATTGAGAGAATATAATACATTGCTTATAAGCCCTGAATAGTTTCTCGTACCTCCTCATTTCCAGATAAGTACCAGCTTGAATAAAGAGTAGCACAATGTATAATATATATATATTTATAGACATGCGATCTCTCGTCAGAGCTTACACCATTGCGCGAAATCTCACTTGGTTTGCTCAAAAGTGCACAATTTCCAATAAGACTGCAATTATTTTGCGAGAGCCAAAGACCAATCTCTCCGTCTTAGCCCCCTGGTTGATCCGTGCTGATAATATTGTGTGCTTGCAGGCCTGTATCGACGATGACCTGGACATGGTGGAATTTTTGGTGGAACAGGGCGCGGACATCAACCGGGGTGACAACGAGGGCTGGACGCCCCTGCACGCGACCGCCTCATGTGGCTTCATATCCATCGCCAAGTCAGTACATACACATGCACCTCCTTTTATTCACGCAATTTGATGATCAGCAAATACTTTTTTTTTCGGTCATTCACCGTTGTGTATCACCGTTTATTTGTTTATTTATTTATTTTTTATTTTTGCGCGTACCGCGCCAACTACGTGGAATCTTATCGCTCCAAATTGAGCCCGTCGAAGATAATAAACCGCCGCCGTTACGTACTCGGTTGTACACATAAGTGTATTATAACGCTTAAAAATGTTGACTCGCGTCAATCATTGTCATTAAGATTCCAACAATAATAACAACAACAACGTTATCACCCACAGATACTTGATAGAGCAAGGCTGCAACTTGGCGGCGGTGAACAACGACGGCGAGCTCGCCCTCGACATCGCGGAGAGCGACGAGATGGAGGAGCTGCTCCAGGATCACATCAACAAAGCAGGCGAGTTCGACCGCTTGGCGCTTTTTGCATTGTGTGTTTTATTGGTGGTCATATCGAGTGACTCACTCTCGCTATCTCCCGATTAAACGCGCGCGTCTCCTCTTTCGTGCCTCATTGTTTTTAAATAATCATTGAGCAACGACTCGTTCATTCTCGGTTGATTAACTTTTTTTTTATTTTATTTTATTTTTTTTTTTATTGAATTTGCGGCTGTGCAAAGTACAACGATGTCGAGACCATATAGAGTCGTTTACCAAGCTGCCCTCACGAAGATGGTAAATGCTGAATGATCTCGTAGAGCAAGATGTATTGCTTGTTCCCCGGCTAGGTTCACAACGCCTATCGTCGGGTTCCTTGTGTAATATACAGACCCTGTAGACGCACACATGTTGTTTTTCTCTTGGTCCATTTCGCAATTTTTTAATTGTCAATTTGAACAGGGATCGACTGCGACAAGGCGAGAAGCGAGGAGGAGAGGTTGATGCTGAGCGACGCGCGAGCCTGGAAATCTGGGGCACCCGGCAAGGATACCGTGCACCCGCGATCCGGAGCCACGGCCCTTCACGTCGCTGCCGCCAAGGGTTATACTACGGTTATGAAGTAAGAATTCGTTTGAATTCAACGACTGAACAGGTCACAGTGACAAGTAACGTGGAATCTTTTTTTTGTTTTTTTTTTTGTAGTATTCTGCTGCAGGCCCGGTGTGACGTCAATGCGAGGGATAACGACGGATGGACGCCTCTACACGGTGCGGCGCATTGGGGCCAGATTGAGTCCTGCAAGCTCTTGGTGGATAATTACTGTGATATGGATATTAAAAATTATGCCGTTAGTATAAGTACAAATTTTGATGATGATGGTTGATGATCGTTAATTTTATTTATTTATTTATTTATTTTTTAACTTGTTGGTGTAATTGCAGGGCCAAACTGCTTTTGACGTAGCTGATCCTGACATCGTCAAGGCTTTGGAGGAATTGAAGAAAAAGCAAGAGGTTCTGTTGAAGGAGCATCCGCAAATTATCAACAAGCCAATAGCGGTACCAAAGAAACGGTGAGTATTGAATTACTTTTGCGTTTTGAGTTGTGCACTTGTTTTCACGAAATTTGATCTAATTATCAAATTTGTTTTTTTTTCTCCACTAGTGTATCAACAAATGAGAATTTAGTTATTGATCAAAAGGGAATAGATACGTTCGAGGAGGAGACACCAAACAAAGTTAAGAAAGTCGAACTGGAAATTCAATCCGACAAAGAAGAGTCGAGCGTTGGAACGAATAGTGACGTCGGTGAGTCGATTGTTGTTTTTTTTTTTTTTCTTCAATCAGTCTTGCTCTTGCAATCGAGGGATTGCGATAAAATTGCTGCAGTGAGTTGTATACTTATACTTTTTGACCTTATATATAAATTTAGAAAATCTCAAGCGTCTAAAGATAACTCTTTTTACTTTAGTATACTACGTAACAGTATTTGGAAATCAAAAGTTGGAAAAGTTATTGCAGCAATTTTTTCAAACTCTAAATGTAGATTTTTCTTTGATAGTTAAAGTCCTTTTCTTTTAAAATATAAGAAAAAAACTCTTACTACAATCTTTTCTCATCGCAACTCTTTCATTATAAAAACTTTGCTGCGTGGATTTAGAAGAGGGAGTCGATACGGACGTGGAGGAGGCAAGCGAAGGTGAGAGTGAATCTGAGACTAGCTCAGATACACAGTCCTCCACGTGTTCTGAACAATCTAATAAATCAAATCGTTCAAACAACTCGACTTGTCTTACCGACGACGGTGAGTTTTACCCTTCTCGGTGCTATGTGCTACCAACATTTTGGTTTTTCTTTGCTGAGGTTTTGTCGCTAATCACTGTATCATTGGTTTTATCTTTTAATTATTTCCTCATTCTTTACATTTAATTTAATTTAATTTAATCCTGCAGCGTTTGATGTTTAATAATAATTAATAATAATAACGATGTGCCTTTACTGTGTAACAAATGAAACACACGAGCATCATTTACAGGACATGTTTATTACTTTATTACACACACGTAACTACGAATAATATGTCATTACACAGCGCTCTAATTGCTTTTCCATTGAAATACTAAGTTTTCGTAAATTCAATTGGGCATAAAAAAACACTTTCAACACACCACAGTATCTTACTCCAACGCCACTACGTTTACATTATTTTAATGATGCTGAATTTTTTTATGTTGTACATATCATTAACGTAATTTATTACACCTATCACGAAAAATCATAGACTTGAAGACTTGACTCGTAAATGTGGTACTTGTTGTTGATTTTGCAGAAAAGAAAAATAGGGCGAATCGCGAGGAAACGGCTTCTTACAGTCCCCAGCCATCGCCCGAGGTGAACAAAGTTCCTAACCAGGCACCCGTTGTACCACCGAAACAACAGTCTGAGAACAACGACGAGGGCTCCATACCCTCGTGGCGAAGGTCTGGTTCGTTCAGGAATCGCGGCCATGAGATGGAGTCTACTAATTCAATATCCACTAGTATGTATTCTTCCATTTCCAATTTTCGGGTTTTTTTTTTTTGCTTCAAAACGTTTATGCATAATGATGAAAATATTGTTTTTTACAGGGATTGAAGAACGCGAAAAACCTTTAATAAAGACACCGACGTCACCCATAAAAGCTCAGGAAGAACCAGAAGTTGTGCTCAGAAGAACACATAGCTTTGAAACGGATGAAAAGTAAGTGCACACGTTTATTCAACTGATAATCCAAACATTCAAACGAAGCTTGCAACTTTAACACGTGTGCCTGTGTTTTGAAGTTTTTTTTTAGCAACCATGCTTTGCCGAAATAAAATGTAACCAAAAACTATAACTTCCACTAAAATAATTACTTCATAATTTGAATGCATCTTTAAAAAAAATAGAAAATACCCTCTAAACGTGTCAAGTATTTTTACACACTTCCGAGAGTATATTTTTTTTACCACCGAAAAATGGTTACAGATCAAGTTTTAGAAATAATGTTCATAAGAAAGAAAGTCCAAGATACTTACGAATGCACAATGTAAATAAAAAAGATTAGTGTGGTATACAAGTGTGCACGTGGCACGTATATGCATGTTGCGCAGGTTCTATGAGCAGTACTTGGCACTGAGAGCCCGTATCAAGGCAGCATCCTGCCCTACTCTCCACCGCTGTAATCCAGCCACTCCTACTTATAACAACGCCACGACCGCCCGATCTGCATCCTTGCGCGATACTTACAGGTACGCGCGCCCTCGACGAAACAAATAAAAGAGCCTTTAGTTTTTTTTGTTCTCTTTACCGTATAGATTTTTTTTTCTCTACTCAAGACTATGATTACCAAAGTAAGAGGCTTACTTAGTTTCTTTCAAATCAGTAAAATGGTAATTACAGCATTTTTGGCATGAATTATGAGTATAAAGAATCGTTTCTTTGCTATGAAAAAAACCAGCCGCTGTAATAAAGTACTACCGCTTGTACAATCGTTACATTAAATGTCCAGCTTTTGCTAATATCCTGCTTTTTTATTAACGCTTTAAAAATAAACTGTTGTACATAGTTTGATGGCTTGATTAATAATTTTATCTGAATGAAATTAAACTCGAAAATCCGTTTATCTTGTCGATTAATTCATCACGTATGTTTTATTGCTCTAAAACGAAAAAAAAAAAAAAAAAAAAAAAAAATTATTGACAACCCGTTTCCACAGATACACTCCTCGCCATTACATCTGCTAATCCCATAGGTCTCTGCTTGTAGCATTTGAACAATAACAAAGAAAAAACTCAAAAATTTGTATTGATATGTTTTCAGGAAAAAAGACATCAAATTGAATTTGGAACTGTCGCCAGTACTACAAACAAATAGTACGCAACAATCGCCAACGGGTGGTGTGCCGAACAAGTCGTTGCCTACGACACCAGTCACTGGTCTAAACTCCAGCAGTCCTCTACCCGCCAACCAAATTCGCAGGTATGTAAATAAGATGTTTTCTTTTTTTTTTTTTTTTTTTTTTAATTTATTGCACTTAGGTGACGTCTTTGTTTAATTGAGGTTTCTCTTTTATTTTACGAAAAAACATTAGAATCCGTGCTATGATAGATAGTTTGTGAAAAATTTATTTATTCAGATGAAAAAATAATTGGAATAATGCATTAGTTTTACTATTATTATTATGACAAGACTTAGTTGAGGATATAAGTAGAAGAGGTCGTTATTGGTCAGACGTTTTAAATATAATGATGTATCGTGCTGCTCTAGTATTGATAAATTTTTCAAATATTAACAAAAAAAATCATAATTTTAACTTGTAATTGTTTATTTTGTAAATGTCTAAAAATATTAATGCAATAATATGACAACTGTACGCTAATCGTGAATACTAAGGGCTTTTTTTTACGTCACTCAAACCAGCTGCTGTGCATCATGTTGTACGTGTCACAGAATCGTATTTTGCTTTTCATTTGCCAAATAAGATATTTGACAGTACTTTTTTGGAATGATCGGTACTTGTAATTTTTCAATAAGTAACTTGTACTGTGATTTTCATTCGAAAAAATTAACTATTCGTTACTTTGTTATTGGTTGCTTTATCAATGTGAAACATATAAAAAAAAAAAAAAAAAAAAAAAAAAAAAAATTATAGTTTACTGGTTGCATATTGTACGTACCATCAAAGTAATAATAACTCACGCAATTTAATGACTTCGAGTAGCTTATCGAGCTCGGTTCAAGTATCGCCGACGACACTGTCTGCTACGAACAATTCAATGACAGTACCTGCGACTCCTACCACACCCGGTGGGAGCAAGCTAAGCCCAGGGAATATCTTCAAAAATTTCTTCAAGTGCGTACACCTAAGCCGTCCCTGAAGATTTACGCAGTTGGAAAAACGCGCGATAAATTTTCATTTAACAGCTTTTGCTCTGTTTTCCATTTTTTTTTTTTTTTTTTCCTTTCTAATAAAATTGATAAGCTCGTTTTGTTTTTGAGGTGCTGTGAATATTTTATTTAGTACATTAATTATTAATTATCCTTTTTTTTTACTTGACATGCAAACAAAAATAAAAGCGTTTCAGTGTGTTTGCACGCTGCTGAGGTCATAAACGTAAAACTCGTGAAATAGTTTTTTTCCAACTGCGTATCTATTTTGCAACGTGTGAAGATATGCGTATTGAATTTTTGAAATTTCAATGCCTCATTGATATTGGTTTTTCTAATTACGTTTTATTTTCCTTTATTTTATTGAGATTTGCAGCTGCATGATAACAAAAGTGTGCTTTTTTTTTGTCTGCTCTTGTGAATGAGTGACGATTCTACTTTATTTTTCAGAGCTTTCGTTATGTATGTAAAATTATTACAGCAACATGCAGTGCAAAATAAGGCTTACATTGATTGCTACCAGTTATGCTTTAATGGAAAAGTTTTGTACACTCATATTTTCCTGTGTTTCTTAGACTTGTGTTGTTTATTTTCGTATGCGAAATACAATATAATCACAAGTGTGAGATTTGCCTTTGAATATTATTATTATTGTTTTTTTATTTTTAAATATCGTGAGTTGTGAAAGCTGTTATTTTTAGAACTTTTTCATTTCCTTAAGTATTGAAAGAGAATGAACAGCTTTGATCCCCGTTGATTTCCAATGGTATATTAGTGGGCCGGTGTTATCAAGACAAGCGCCGATACTTGAAACGTCGGCATCGGCCATTTGAACTTTTTTCCCCCCCGTTACTAATTAATCCGAAGGTTCGAAGAATACTTGTAAAAGTTTAAAATTTATTACATTTTGTCCTAGACATTCTTTTGGTATAGGAAAAATTTAAAAGTATCCTTCGAAGCTCGAATACTCATATATTTATTGTATAATCGAATGAAATTTGTTTATTTATTTTCCTCAGTTGTATTTTTGATCCAGTACTTGAAAATACAGATCCAATTTGAGATTTCGATGGTTTGCTTCTCTCGATTACAAAACATTTGTTCACGTATTTATTTACTTTTTGTTGCAACTTTGTGCTTCATTAATTTATTGTTTTTTTATTTTGTTGTCTCGTGTCGTTGCACATGATATATCGTACGTATTTTGCCTTCCACATACACACAATTATTTCAGGAATGCGAGTAAAAAAACTATCGAAATGTCGAATGTTACCTTTTGATTTATACATTTTTAAAATTACTCAAAAATGATATATTTTGTCTTCAATCGGACACGCTAATTACCACAAGTATACGCCGCACACGCGCTTTTTGTACACGTAATTATCATCAGACAAGTAAAAAAAAATCATATTGCAAAAAGCAACGATCGAGCAAGAGGATTGTAAAAACCATCGAATTGAATATATTAGAGGCGAAAAAAAAAACAAGCACTGCGCTTAAAATATTTCACAAAAGCAGGTGCACACACACAGTACACACACGCCGTGACACGAGAGAAGTCATTGTACCAACTCGTATATTCGAATAGTTTAAGAAAACAAGAAAAATAATACTGTCCAACAGGTCGTTCGTGCCGCCGGTTCGTGACGAGGAGAGCGAGACGCAGCGCAAAGCACACGCCAAACGCGTCCGCGAGACCAGAAGGTCGACCCAGGGTGTCACCCTCGACGAGATCAAGAGCGCCGAGCAGCTCGTCAAAAAGAAACAGCAGCAGAGCAACGACGTCGGTGTCACCAGTACCACTGTTCCTGCTCCTACCACTACTACCACTGCGCAGGTAGCGTTTGAACACTTTATGGGTTTTATCATCAACATTACTGATGTTTCTCGTTGCCAAGATAAAGATGATATCACTAGCACGACTTTCCGTTGGACTAAAGCGGAATTTTGCTTTCTTTCCCCTTTTTTTCACGTGTAAACAATATTTTTTTTTTTTTCGTAATGAGTTGTTACTAGTTGGGTTTCGTGAAATTTCGTTCAATTGACGAGTAGTTTATTAATCAAGTGGAAAAAAAGAAATAGTTTTTGGTCGGAAATTCAAAACATAGGTATGGTTGTTTTGTTCATTTGTTGGTCCCATGTTCGATTTACGATTTGGCAATGAAACGACAATAACAGTGCAACGAGCCATTTCATAACGGAATAACCGGCACGTTCCATTCGTTTCCTTATTCTCCTGCGCAGTCCTCGTCGGCAACCACCACGACAACGGCGACACTGTCGAGCGCAACGACGACGACGACGGCGACAGCATCAACGACGACGGCCTCGATCACGGCGACCATCACAACTGCCGTCCCGACGACGACGCCGAGCTCCCACAAGCCAACTTCCTCGGAGGTGGAGTCTACAAGCGGTGGTGGTAGCAACTTGCCGGAACGCCGGCCCTCGTGGAGGCTCAAAGTCGACGGCGGCAGCAAGGTCGGTGACGATGATGTTAGTCGTGATGATCGTGGTGGTCAAGTAGACAAGCTTGGTAGCGATAAAGCCGTTGCGGCCACAAGGGACGAGAAAATCCATGCCGACGATCGCTCTTGGTGTGCATGGTTGTTGAGCTTATTCGGTTGGGAGCGCAAATAGCTCGTTCTTGCTCTTGTTCTTGCTGTTGGTTTTATTTGCATTGGTTATTTTGTATCATGCACTTTTTTTTCATCCCCCTCCTCCTCTTGTATGAATACTTTCTTCTTTCCCTCTCGAATGCACGTAAATTGGTCGATCATGTGGATACAGATTCATACAGTTTTTCTCCACTTTTTCCTTTCCACGTAAACATATCCTTTTTTGTTTGGGAAGTTTTTAAAGTCCTTTTTGTCATTGTATTGCCAATGCTACGTATAAAAAGCGTAATTTAAAGTATGCCATTTTAATTTTTTTTTTTTTTTTTTTTTTATTGCTTGCTTTTTTTTTTAAATCAAAACTTTTTGACAATCTCCTTGTATGATTTTCGAGTATTGATCGAAACTGCCTGAAAACGCAACACTTTTAAGGTACGTATCTGATGAATAGTTTTATTGTATAGTACTCAACATTTTTACTTTTAAATAATCCATGACGATTGGAATCCTACGAGTGATATATCAGTGCCAAAAATTCGTACAAAATTACATAAAGTGGCAAATTTTAATACAGTCGTACCTAAAAGTCGTAAAAAATATATAAAACTGAGTCCTTCTCGAGAGCTGTTTAGATTCCTATGTATTGATTTGATTTGGCCGTAATCTCGCAAAAAGGTGGCTAAAGAGTAATGATTTTTTACGTATTGAGATAAATATTTTATCATATTTTATTAAATTTTCATACGAATGTTATATTTTTCATCAAAAAATTGTATTTTTAACAATTTTTGTGAAAAATACTAATTGATTATCATTATATTTTAGAAGTGTAGTATTTGAATGTCACGTAGACGTGTAAGCTAACAACATTAAAAATATTTACATACGATTTTATTTGATCTAACTTTTATGGTTAATGTAGTATTTTGACGTATTTTTCTAACATTACACATAGAATTATTATGATATTAAGTATATGGTAACCAAAATCTAGTGCAGTAAATCCTGTAATTTAGAAATAATTCTGTTGGTCTTGCGTTTTAAATCATCCGTTCAATCCTAACACCTGACATTAATATTTATTTGTAAATTCATCGATTGTCTTGCCCGTAATCTCAATGTCGTTTGTTTATACTTTCCGCGTCTATTCCAATGGCAATCCATGACTTTCTTTTTATTTCTCATGTATTCCTCCATTATGATTTCCTTGATTTTATACTGCACAATAAAAGCCGGAAGACATTGCTCCCATCGTTTACCAGCAAGAAGTGGCGTTTGGAAAAAAAAAAAAAAAAACTATTGTAAAGCATATTTATATACATGTAGAGAAAGGCAAAGATTTTTGGGATACTAAGTATGTTGTTTAGTGCATGTTTTATTTACACATTTCGGGGCATGCTATCTAGCCTTTAACAAAGGACTGATGTCAATGTGCTTGTGGCGATTTGCAATTATATTATTATCTTTGAACAGACGTATATATTCTACTTGTTGTGAATTTTTTTTTTTCAATTATTATTATTAAAATGTCACAGCTGTAAATACATGCACGCATATATATATATATATACATGCAACACACAAACGATTGAATACTATATATATATATATCACAGTTTTTTGTAAATAAAGCAATAAAACTGTTTGGAAAAAAAATGGTCAACCGATAAAGTGCTTTTTTATTTATTTTTGCCTCATTTGTCGAACAATGAGAAAAAAATTACTTGCCACTGCTGAGAAATCGTTTATTTTGTTTTTCTCTTTGACCAAAAAATTCAGTACATTACACTCCAATCTCTTATAAAGCATGTACGATTTCACAGCAGACACAAACAATTTTTCACTCGCAATATAAACGAACGAACAAACAAACAAACAAACAAACATCCACGCACTGGGAAGCCAAAGCAGCACAGGCGACGCAAGAGAAACAAAACAAAAACAAAAAACCTTCCATAAAGAGCCCTGAGCAGGCCCGCATGTGCGTGAGAAAGCAACCGTATTGTCTTGTCTCTCAGTTCCAGCTCGAGGACGCGAACAACAGGAACAACAACAGCATCAACAGCATCAACAGCAGCAACAGCAACAACAACAACAACAATAACAATAACAACGTGGCCGTGGCATCGGACACGACGACCGCGTACATAAGGCGGCCGACCGGCAATAATGCACCCAACGCCCCGAGGCCCAGCTCCGCGCCGGTTGACGGGGTCGCGACGGTGCCCACGACGACGACGACCGAGGCTACGGTTACCCTGCCTCTCAGACGACCGGTCAAGCCGCCCGAGGACAAAGGTAAATCGTGACGATTTATCCGGATGATTTAGCGTTTGTGATGATTGTTTGTGGGTCTCGCTTTGCGAAACAACGGGGCAAAATCATTGTATTTTTAAACTGAGAGAATGATGAAAAAAAAAAGGTAACCGAGTGGTTAACAGTATGATCGACGCAACGGTTGCGTGAAAGCTAATCTTTTCAGGATCCATGTAAAAGTGTTGCTGGGATTGATGGTTTTTTTTTTTCTTCTTTTTTACTCGTTGCAGAACAAGACAAGGAAAACGACAGTCGGAATGCACAGGCGACCCAGGCCGTCATCCAGAGGAGGCGGAGACCAAAAAGACGCTCCACCGGCGTCGTCCACGTCGATATGGACGTCAGTATTACCCTTCTTTGCTGCGCCTTATTTATTTATTTTTTTTATTGCCAACCATAAATGTCTGTTTGTGTTTTCACTTCGGGATTTTGATGTGGTGAGCCTGTGTGGGAGATCGCAAGAACTTGGCAAAACAAATTCGGATAGGTCAAGTTGAAGGAGAGGCGCGCTTCTGGAATCGAGTTGAAATCACAGCGTGTGCGCCGATTTAGATCGAGCTTTTTCGAGCGAACGAGTTGAAAGCTGTTACGTGATTGTTTAATATAGTTGATTCCGGGAATGAAACTTTTGGCTGAAATTTATAGCTTTTTTTTTTTTTAATTTTTGGGTAAAATCATCTCTGTTTTTTTTACACTTGCAAACGAAGGCTTACTTCTTCATACTTTTGGTAGTTGATGCAAAAATTTGGCATATCCATCCCCTTTTGAGACAACGGCGTGGGTGAGCGCGTATCAGCAAAGTCCAAAATGACGATTAGGTATACTCGTGCTTGTTTGACGTCAGGTGTAAACAGCAGTTTCTATTAATACCGTCACTGCTGCCAGATGTTTTTTTTTTTTACTTTCTCTCTGTTCCACCCGTCTCTCTTTACTGTCAAACGTATTTTTTCCTCTCCCTTCGAATGCGTGACCTTTGCAAAAACAATCATGCAATTGTAATTCGTGCTTTTTCTGGATTGTTTCAGGAAATCGACCCGGAGAAGCAGGACACACCAACGAGCGGCGAGACCGACGCCGACACCAAGGTCAATCACAACGAGGTAAGTTTTGTTTTTAGTTTTACGGAATACGTGTGACCTTGCAATCTCCTACATTTGGCACTATCAATCATTTTCGAGTAAAAGTAACGATTTATTTTCAATGCCGAGTTAAATTTTATGTCATAAAATGTGCAATAATACCCTTAATAGGAAATATTTATGGAGTGTGCGGTTACTTTAACTGACGAGAACAAAATAAGTAGTATTATTGAAGTTTAGTCAGGCGCATGTTAAAAATGGCATCGATGTACGTAAATGCCATGATGATAGATCGTGACATCGGTTTTCCCTTTTTACGCAACGATTTTTCTTAAATACGCACAGATTAAATTTAATTGGAAACTAATTTGGAAGATTTAATTGATTTTCCAACATTCCGTTGCTTCGTACTGTGTGACGCATTTCACTTTATTAAAAATATCATCCAAACACCACCAGGAAACACGTCGATTGTCAAAAAATCCAAGAAGATGGTTGTTAATAACACACTGTTTTTTACCAAACGAAAGTAATATTACGCATACCATTTATGGAGTCGCAGTGTGCGGTTACGCGTGTACATCCCGAGCAGATGCCGAGTCTCCGATACGATTAGCCGAGAGTGAGAGAGCAGTGCTCGCGTGTGCCGCTACTGCGGCTTTGTGATATTTTTAGGGGTACGGGAGCGGCCGGCGAAAGGATTTTTGGATCGGATTATGAGATTTCGCCCGCTCAGTTTTCATCGGTAATTTTTTTTTTTTTTTTTTTTTTTTTCCCGTACATCAACGATTTGGGAATCGTAGTTTCATTGGTTTTTGACCCTAGCAAGCACATTGAATGAAAACAAAATTCTTAATCACTCGTGAGTTGTCAAACGACAATTAAAAATAGCATGCAAAGATGCGCGAAAGTACAGTCGAAAATAGCAAGCCAGATATCATAATATACCGTTTAAAAATAAATCGAGGACTTTACAATAGATACACGCATTTATTAAAGCTTGGCGTGAACTTAATCCCTCATAAGCGTAAAACAGCGCGTGTCTATCCCGATGCAATGGCTATATTATATATGTATTACTTGTAACTAAATAATATAAAATTGAGTAGCGTTTCGCAAAAGGTGCGTCATTTGAATGCAAACGTAAATATAGAATTCACGCGAGTCGCATGTGCAGCGTGTATACGCACGACTACTGCGGTAAAATTAGCTGATGTGGCTTGTGCACGAGGCGCATCGACTGTCTTCCTTCTTCTTTTTTTTTTTTGCTTTTTGGTCACATATATTATATGCTTACGAACCATCGCGTAGATATATTTACATTATGTAATATAGGCATGTATTGCTTTTTTCTGTAGTGTACACTTTTTGATTGTTTTGCTTTTTATAGGTTTATGTGAAAAACAATAAAAAGTCGAGTACATGTGCAGAGCCCACGGAAGACCATATTTAAATTTAATGGCATCAATTGCGTTGTTTATAAGGGCGAACGCGAGTAGATAAACATACACATCTTGGAAAAAAAAAGATAAATACTGGCACGCGCCGAAGTGTACCACTATAGTTACGTACATGCGTGTGCGATCTTATTTTCGTTACGTAAACGGAAACGGGAACTAATCTTTTTTTTTGGAAGTAATTAAGATGTTTCATGTAAAGGAAACTGAGTGAATGAGGTTGTGAGCTATTTATGTCAAAAATTACTCTTTTAAAATGTTTTTTTTTTTTTACATTTATATACTGTCATAATCACACCGCAGTCTACAATTTTTTGTCGACTACATGTAAAATTTATTATTCAATGTTCCCTTTGTTTCAATGAACAAAAAAAAATACAGTGCATGATAACTATACATTCTGCGAATTGATGTTAGTAAAATTTTCCTTTCAAAACTTAACTTTATAGATTGTAAAGGGTCAAGTTCACGTGTTGAAAACAAAGGAACCCATAAAGTTTAAGTCTAATCACATATACGTATTTTTTAAGCACGAATATTTTTTCAATTTTTTTAAATACTATATTTTTTTTTGCTAAAAGTATAGGCATTAGTTGTGCTGAAAAAATTTTTTTTAACTACTAACATGTGAGATAGTGCTTCAAAAATGTTTTTCAGCAAAAACAATGAAATAAACGAAAAATAGAAAAAAACAAATAAGTTTAGAGAAAAATTAAAATTATAAGAATATTTCCTAATATTGGATTGGGATGAGTAATAAAATAAAAATTTTTTTTAGAAATAAA